TGCTGAACTGGAAAAAACAGCTGAGAATTTCAGCTCTGCAGTATTGTCTGAAGAGAAGTCTATAGAATTAGTAAAAGAAGCTAAAGATTTAAATTTTTCTAGCCTGGAAGATGAAAGACGTATTGTGCCTACAAAGAATTCTCCTGCTTCCGTGGCAGAAACTGCAAAAACACAAACCAAGGAAACCTGTAATAAGTCTATAAGCACTATAGGAACTTCTATAAATACTAAAAATGACATAGACTCTAATAAAATTCCATCTGAAAGTAAGACACTTATTACTTCAACACTAGAGCATGATAAGGAGGAGGAGGAGGAAGATTATTATGTCAATTACAGTTCACCAGATTCTCCAGTACTTCCTCCTTGGCAGCAAGTAGCCTCTCCAGATCCCAAGCAGTCCAATTTAGAAGACACAGAGTGGAAAACTCAGGATATTATTTTGTCTTCTGTGGAAGGAAATGATATAGTACCTGTTGGAAGCGCACAAAACTCTCCATCCACCCAAGAGGACGTTAGGACATCCTTTGACACGTCTCCATTTCCAGTTAATGAAGATCCTGGAAATTCTGAATCCATTTGCCTGCATAGTACACCTATTGTGCAGAGAAAAAGTCAAGATGGAGTACCTGAAGTTCTTGGGTTTACTCCTCTATCCACAGGTAAATCCATTAAGTGATTCTAATGATACACAAAAAAAATTGCTGAATATGATATTATATTTCTTTTAACATAATGAGAATATAATTATATCTCCACAAAAATCTATTTAAAACTAGTTTTGGAAAGGAAAAGGCCTGTGCATTATTGTTAAAGTAGCTTACTGAATTATGAAAAAAGTCTAGAAGCAGAACACCCTTTTTCTTCCTGATGGTCTCTAGTATCTGAACTCTGAAGTGCTGGTTAAAAACTTAATTTAAAAGTATAGCTCATTTGGGAGATTTTGAAATCTTTTTTGTTATATTGCTTGTATTTTTCTGAATATAATCTCAATGTAGAGTGTGAATAGCATTGCAATGTTCAAGATGATAATCATGTGAGGTTTGGTAACTTACTTGCCTTGTACTATACATTCCTAAATGTCCATAAATACCAAATTGTAATAGTTGTGCTTTGGATTGGACAGAGAATGAAGTTGTATTTGTTTACATATAATATTTGTTTATAATGTTAACCAAATGCCTCTGGTTATTTTCAGCATGTTGTTTAATGTCTAGACAATATTATTGAGGCTAAGCAGTTTTGTACTCGTATATGTTTACAGAACCAAAAGCCCAGAAACTGAGCCACAAGAGGGGAAATAATACTGATGGTCTTCGAAGAGTACTCCTAACCACACAAATGAAGGTAAATTAAGGTTTTATGTACAGATGTATTTTTATTACACCACACATACACATTTCCATTCTCTGCCTTCTGTGTTGTTTTTTTCTTTTGCTGTTAAGATCTTGAAAATACATTTAAAATGGTAGGTTGCAATTGCTGTAGAATCAGTGTACACTCAAAGTTAGAAAGAAATCAGTTTAATTTGCAGGAGGGGGAAAAGTTAGATATTGAGAGTATGTTCTATGTTTTAGGGTAGTGAGATGCTAATGAAACCCTAAAGAGACACTGTGTAAGGGTGTTGTCTTTTTAAGTTCTATTGTAATTTCCCTTTTATATATATATGTGTGCATATATATGCACACACCCGTGTCTATTTATGTATCTCTGTGTGTGTGTATTAGTTTTCAGAAAATGCTCTAGGCATTTTCTGAAAACAGTGTAGGCAGTGAACGCCACCAGCATGCTGACAGAGTAGAAAGGGATTGCATTAAATTATCAGTCACATGTTTTCCCTAAAGAGTGTTTCTGCTCCCCATGTTGGAAACAGAAAGGTGGGCTTGGTGCATTACCAAAATGACCCAATAGTATTTTCTTTTGTTCTTAACATACTGGTATTCACCCAGTTCAAGTGGGTACTTAAGTGTACCCTTAATTCAGTGCCTTAAAAAGTGGTGACTGAAACAGAGGTTTTTGATGAACTGTTGCTCAAGAGAGACTAGAGATTTGCTGGTTCCCCTGTCCTCAGGCTTCTAAGAGAACTAATATGTGTGGGGTTTTGGTTTTTTGTGTTGGTTTTGTTTTGTTTTGTTTTTAAAGGCTACAGCTGTTGTTTCCCTGTTGAAAAATGACATGAGGAGGTAGTGGAAGCTTTTTTTTTTTTTTAATTAATAATTGTAGTGTAGCATTTTCATTGATAAATTTCTATTCAATATTGTATATGAATTTAGCAACCTGTAGTTTTTTCAATATTATACTGTGCTTTCTTTTCTTTTTTTTTCCCCCCGATAAGAATCAGTTTGCTGCTCTCGGCGCTCCAAAAAAAGAGACTTCTCAGATTGAAGGACCATCTTTAAATAATACTTATGGTTTTAAAGTCAGTGTGGAAAACCTGCAGGAAGCAAAATCTTTACATGAGGTAACTTACTGTTACATGTTATTTTATAAAATGATAGTTTATCATACCGGTTTTATAATAGCAGAATTTAAAAATCTTTTCCTCCTTGGTCCCTGCCTGACTTAAAATTAATCAGTGTGTGATGTCTGCAGCTTTAAGTAGTCGCTCTCTAGTTTCAGCTGGGTCGCCAAGTGCCTTTATTTAATAGTATTGAACTAAATTTCCCGGTATTTTTGCTGAGAAGGTGATAAACTTTCCTTTAAAAATAAAAATAAGGGAAAGATCAGAAGGAAGAAATAGTACGTTTTGTATAAAACTTAGTAATGTTTTTGTATAAAAACATTACTTGAAAAAGTAGTTGACCATAACTGTCATGGATTATTTCCTTAAGAAACAAGGCATCTGGCATCATTCAGTTGGGCCCTCCCACTATCTCTACATGTTACCTTCTGAACCTGTTGGCCAGTTTCTACTACATTTAGCAAAATGGTACATGTCTCAAAGAGTCTGCCTACATATTTCATGTAGATCAGTGATTGGTCAGGGAAGAGAGATCAAAATTGGTGCTGGAGAAAGGGATGCAACGTGAGTATAGTACTGCTGTGTTTGGCTGCTAACTGGCCAGCCAGCATGTGTGTGCTCCCAGACAGTCACCACATCCGTGGCTTGGAATTGGCTCTTGATCAATTTACAGATGAGATGGGGAGACACAAGTTTTATGTGCTGAGTAGATGACATAGGAGAAGCCACAAGAAACTAATGATTTTGCAGGAAATGGAGATAGACCTTGATAGTAAAATTTCATTTCAGCTATGGCTGCAAATCTAGAGGAAATCAGGCTGCCCCCAGGGCAGCTTACATACTCGGAACTATTTGTAACTTTTCCCTTGTAATCCTTCCAATCTACCTATTAGTCCACATTATCAACTATATTATGCAAGACAAAAGAGCAGCAACATAGCGTTGAAACAGTATTAAACACTACAGTATTTATTGTAGAGTCAAAACTGTACAATATATAGGAATTAGCATTTTCTTAATGCAAACCATTCTGCAAAAAGCTGTAGCAACATGATGTGGAAGTTCTTTAATGCAAGTGAAGGGAAAGTTAGGTATTCCCCATATCTTCCTGTAAGTGACTTAGTCTTTGTGCTTGTTTGCACGTCTTGGGTGAGGGAGGGAAAGCAAAATATAGATTATAAAGTGATTCTTTGTTCTTGATCAGTCTGAAAACTTAATTCAGCTCAATATGCAAAGCTGTTTGAAAACATTACAGGAATTTACAGTTGTTGAAGTTGAACATTTCTGTTTGTATTTTCTGCTTTTGGTAGAAGACGATAGTGCTCAGAAACAAATACTGAATTTTAATAATTTAGTATAAAAATGTATTAAGTAATTAATCTTTTTTTGTAAGATAATGCTTTTTGCAAAAAAGTGAGATCCAGGGATGCATGTTTAATCACTTCTATGAATTTTCAGGTGTGACTTCTTAGTTACAGTATAATACGACCATATAAATGTCTGGATTGAGTTCATTTGCACTAATAATCTCCTCTTAAATTTTTTGAAGAAAGCTCCAAAATGTACTAACTTACTGTATTTATTTGTTGGTAGGTCCAACACCTTACCCTCATCAGTATGGAGTTACATGCTCGAACCAGACGAGATTTGGAACCAGACCCAGAGTTTGATCCGATCTGTGCTTTGTTCTATTGCATCTCATCAGACACAGCACTGCCAAATACTGATAAAAAAGAAATCGCTGGTGCTATAGTGATTGATAGAGACAGGACACTCTCAAGCCAAGGTTCCTATTTCTTTTTTTCTTAATATATTTTACAAAAATGCTTATTTCATAGTAATCAAACAGTAGCAAGCAAAATATAATCGAGTACCTATGTTACTATTTAGCTCATTTAATTTTGTCTTGTTGACTGTTGGATGAATGGCCATATTAAACATAGAGAGAGTTTTCCTGCTTATATCTTCCAAAGAACTATTGCATGGGCTGTAAACCACAAATAACATACACATGTGCAAAATATCTATGTTTGCGTACTTGTGGACAAGCTCCTGCAGTGTTCTAAAAGTATAAAGAGGAAAACCTGCCTTTACTTTCCTACTCAAGTTGCTGGATAGCTACAAGTAGAAAATGTTAAAAGCAAGACAGTATGTTTTATATTTTACTTAAGGGTTATTTTTGTGGTTTTATCTGATCCTTTTAGGATCTAAACAGGGGCCCTTATTCTATTGTACCTTTTTGGCTTTGTTTAGACCAGTGATACTCAACCTGTGGCTCTAGAGCCGGATGTGGCTCTTCATGGCCCTACAGGCGGCTCTCGCAATGTAGGCATCTGATCGGCGCTCCACTCTATCAGGCAGCGCGGGGAGCACTGAGCAAATGGACCAGCAGTGTGGGAGTCGCTGAAGTTCCCCCTCCCATAGGGGGAAAGAAAAGGAGCTGCTGGGATCCCCCCACAGGTAAGAGTAGAGATCACCTCCCACCCAGCAGCCGTGGGGCAGAATGGGGAAAAACTCGCCCTTTTGCCCCTTCCACCCTTCCACCCCACTCCTTCCTAGCAGCCAGAAGGGGTTGAAGACAGAATGCTGCTGGGAGAGAGGATGCTGATGTGTCATATCGTGATGTATCAATATGTGATGATGTTGAGGCAGCATCATCACACATTGAAGTGTCATGATGGGAAAAAAAAAAAATATCACACTGTTGATACTTGATTTTTATGGTGCTCTACAACTCCATTTAATAAAGAAGTGGCTCTCCAGCTGTTAAAGGTTGAGTACCACTGGTTTAGGCTAGTAAAAAAAAAAAAAAAAAAAAAAAAAAAAAAAAAAAAAAAAAAACCCAAAAAAACGTTCTCTTTCTTTCAGGGTTTCTTTGGCACTGTGAATGTGTATTAAACCACAAAATACTGTCTAAAATTTAAGTGTGGACAAAAACGTACCAAAAATATATTTAGCATTAAGGCAACAGCTCCTTCTTTTACCAGTTTATTTTTCAAAGTATTGTAGATATTATATCATGTTAAGTTAAGTTCTTACTATTCTCAGTGAAGTTTATTCTGGTATTATATGCTTGTTACTATCTTTAAAAAAAATATCTCCATTACCTTACTAAGTGAGATTTTCCACAGTGTAGCCGCTATGGCTCCCTAGGTGTGTGCCACTGATAAATTATCAAGAAAAAGCTCCCTGTAAAGATGTCCAATAATATTTTGAAAAAACAAAGGTTCTAATCTGGTTTCGTTAGTGAAATAAAATGATATGTTTAATTGTTATTGTGACATTCCTTGCTTTAATTGATGTGTGCTGTCAATATTTTCTTGGTTAGAATTTTTTGAGTTCCCTGTGGAGTGACTTGACATTGAGATATACCTTTTTTCCCCTTTTTGTATTATTATTGCTTTGTAAGTTACAGTACTCATTTTAACCTTTATTTCTGAAAGCACACTTTTTTTAATTCTCAAGATCTTAAGAATGTGTTAAAGTAGAATGCCTTTTAAAAACTCCAGATTGTTGCCTTAGTCAGAGATATTACTATCTGTTATATAGAAAAAATGAAAAAACAGAGTATGTGTTGCATATTATTCATTTATAGAGAGTTTTTTATACGGAAGGCAAATGCTGGGTTCCTGCATGCATATGAATTAGCTCACACATTATCAATGTAGACACTCTTAATGTGCACTAAGTGAGCAGTTGCTCGTGTTTTTCCATTTCTACTATTAACTTAGCGGTGTTTTTTAAGTGTAGTGAAAAAAGAACTATACTATGTTATGTAGCATTTTCATTCTTCAAAGCATTTTGCAAAGTGCTGCTCTAAGCTAGCAATTAAAATTTTGCATGAAAACACTGTGTGAGCTGTTATATGGTCCTTTAGTATTTCTAATTCAAAAATAATTTTCTAATAGCTGGACTCTTGTAAATGTAAAATGGTGAAATTTTTCTTGAATAGAATTTATTTATATTTGAGAATTTGTGCAAGATTACCACTATGGTAGAATTTTACAAAGTGAAAAGAACAAACTTTTCCACCCAAGAGGAACAAAATAAGTCCATGGAATTAATTGTGATAATAATTAGTGTTAAAGATAAAAATAGGTTGTATTCCATACTTCTTTTCAGGTTTATGTTTTATTCTAAAGCAATGTTGTTGACTGAAGTCATGGAATTCCTTCTAAATTGTAATGATTTTTTTTTTTTTTTACTTTATTTTCTAGGGAGCAGAGACCAAGCCCCCTTGCTCACAAGATCTGGAGTTACAGGACTAGAAGTCAGTTACGCTACTGATGAAAGAACTCTTTTCCAGGAAGTAGTGAATATTGTAAAAAGGTAGCATATCTGTACGTTCTGCTTTTATTTTTCAGGCTTGGTACAGCAGATTTAGTTCCTTCAACCCTTGCCAGTCTCTCAAATACTGATTTTTGTTGTTGTTTCCCTCAAAGGCTTATTTCTAGAGTGGACAAGCATGGTGGTCTTTCGAATAAAAATACTTTTTGCTTTTCCTTTTCTCTGACAGCAAGAACATTCAGATCCTCTTAAGCAGCTGAGTTACAGTCTTGAAACTAATCAGCCCTATAAGTAATCTTCTTTAAGATACAACCTTTCCTGTTAATCCCAGAATTCATTACACATCTCTCTCTGGAACTCTCAGAATAGTAGATATTAACAGTGCTGAGAGCTATAGAAAACCCCTCAGATGGGAAGAATTTTTTCTAGGGACTCTGAGGCAAGACAGAAAAAAAGCTACATGGTACTGAAACTGCTATGGACAGATTAAAATAACCAGTACTTGAAAAATCAATTTCCTTCATTAGTTTTGTCTTCTCTGAATGGAAATCCCCTGCTCCATCAGACTTGGAAAACTGCTGGTTTTCCCCATCTCCACCAAGGCTGGGAAGCCTGTTTGGTATCCCTCTCGGCTGGTGAGTAGGTGGAACTGCAGACGTCTCTCCAGGCCCTACTGACAGAGGTGCAAAGCTGTAAAATTTCAAGGAAAAATAAACAGATTTAAACTATGAGTCACCCTGCTGGAATAGAGGCACAAGAAAAAAATGTGTACTAGGCAGAGTACATTTGCAATTCTTTCTCTCTCCAACCAGAAAACCTCTGATGAGAAAGACATTGACCAACCCCATGAAGCCAGAATACAAAAAGAGTTGCTGAATGCAACCAACACAGGGTGGCTCCTGGCAGAGCAGCAGATCCCTGTTCAGAGAAGACAAAATTCAGGTAAGGCACATAATTTTATTTTTCTCTTTCTTGGAAATCTAGTGCTCCATCAAACTTAGGAAAATTACTGAGAATGAGAAGCTGCCAATAAATGAAGCATTCTCCACTAGTTGTGTGCAAATTTAAAAAGTGACAATACATAAAGAGTATGAGAGACAGAACTCGGCAGTTAGAATATATATCGCTGAAGAACAGAAGAAGTCTACATCTGTACATATTTGAAGGCATTACAGAATGAAAAAAGCATGACATTTTTGTAGTACTTCAAGATGGAATGTACCAATCACCAGGTTGCTGACTGAGAAATCTCTTCTTAAGAGATACTCTCTTTCAACACTGTGCTAGTGTGCCTTTTTGACTCAACAACTTTATCTTCAAAGATTGAGTTAGTTAACTTGTATTCCTGGAAGATAAAAGATTAGATCTATTAATGGAGAGGCGGACTGCTGTTGTCGTCTTGGTCTACTTCCCTCCTAAGCAATCAGACTTACACTGAACTCTCAACAAATATGTTTTTAAAACTTGGACCACATCTACAGTTTGCAGCTCTTTTCCCTCTTTATTTTCTGTAGCCTAGGTGAAAGAGAATAAGAAATTTTGCTGGAGTAAATGTCTTCTATTCCTTAAGCACAAAACAAGTCTCTAAGCCAAGAGTAGCTTTAACTGAAGGAAAAAGTATGGTGAAACTACTTGATTAAAAAGTAGTGGACTGCGAAAATCTGCCTCAATGGGAAGTGAACAAGCAAGCAGCTTTAATGAAAACTTTCAGCATCAGGAATTATTTTTAAAACAATCTTCTGTTGCAGTTTTTAGTATTGTTCTTCCCATCACAAGCTAGGTACTCTAGTTGTTCTGGTAGGTGCACTTAATAGTAGGTCTGATAGGTTAGAGAAAGAAAACAATCAGGCCATGTTTAAGAAGCATTACCACTTGGGGTTCATGGAGCAAAACTCAAAATCACCTTAATTTATCAGCAAAGGACCGTATCAGTATCTTATATGCTGATGTATGCATCAGGCTAGAGGATAATAGGTTCTTGTGACCAAACAGCATGCCCAGCATGACTGCAGCTTACTTTTGGTTCAAGTTCTTGGCCTCTTTGGGTGTTGGAGGGGAGGGTGGAAGAGTGAAATGCCAGGTTCCTGGCGCAGTGAATGACACAGTATCTGTTCAGTCTTGACTGTCAATACCAGGAACAGACTTTATCAGCTTGTTGGTGCACTGAAGAGAGGGTACCTCAGCTATGGGAGGAGTTGTCTTATGCAGTCCAATTGAAGAATTCGTGTTCCCATTTCTAGTCATTCTCTTAGTTGTTGGCCTAATTCTTGCTCTTATTTCATATATGTGAAATTGTGGAACATAGTCATTTGTTTCAAGTTCCAGCCTTCTACTCCTCTATTTAGGCCTTTTGTTTTTATTCTGTTCTGGTTATCAAAAATAAGAAATGGTTGATTCTGTCACTTCTTGTCAATAGATGTAAACTCTGGAAGAGCACAGTAGAGAATTCTTGACCACTGTTCCCAGCACACAGATGAGGGAAAGGTGATTCCTGGGAAACGTATCACTTCCTGCAATACTCTTAGCTCATGAGACTCTTTTTCCATCAGAAATCTGCAAACGTTTTGTCTTAGAACAAATGACCCAGAATATCTACGCAAATAGTCTTTATAACATGCTGGTTGATATTGAGGGGGACAGATGCTGAAGCAAAGCGTGATAAATTAGTGAGGTTTTAATGCCTGCTGGTGTTTTATTCTTGGGCTGCACCACTAGCCTTTTGTCACTGAAGAGTGTTTTCCAAATCTAACTTTTCATAGCAGAGCTAAAGTTACTCTGTTACACGTTCACTGAAGATGAGTATTGCTCCAGAAAGTTCACTGGAATTGATGACATGATGTTGGATTCAGTTATACCTTCACTGTGAGGTTGTTCAGCGTGTGCTAGATCTGAATGATTAACATGTGCTTCCACCTAGATGGCCGTAAATACCAGGTTAAATGTTCTTCTGTGAAGATGTCGTCTCTGATTAACTTGGGGTAGTTGGCAAATGAAAATAAGTCATCTTGACGTCTGTAGACCAGAAGAAGACCTGGTTGTTTCTCTGGAATTGTGATCTGTGATTTCATCTAGCAGATTTGTCCAAATATTGAGGGGAATAAGCACCTTTATTTTTAGGAGATTATTACTGAGAGTGATTCAGCTGTGAAATAGGAGTACTTACACGTGTGAGTACCAAAATCTGTGTAGGGACAGCTAAAAGAAAGCACATCATTGTAAAGGGAATTCAAGAATTCTCTTTAATTCTAAAAGGTACTAAAATACTGAGCTGCTTGAGGGTTGAGAGGCAGGAAACAGTTTGAAAGGACGAACCATAGAGGTGAGTTTGGAGGAGGCAGGGAACAATAAACAACATGGATTTGCAACAAAGAATACCATAATTAAAGTGGTTCTTGGTACCTTGACAACTGTCTTAGAGTTTGAGAGGAAGCTTCACCTACATAGATCCAGTTTTCCCTTCTTTAGTAAGCTGTCCTCTGGCTGTAAACAAAAAAATAGGACTTCAGCTCAAAACTGGCATAAAGCAGCTGAGAAACAACCTCCTTCCCATCCTGTGCAGCCAGTGTGGATGATCTACAAGCACAGAGAGCCAAGTTGTAGGCTCTTTGGAGTTGTCATAGGGGAATTTTTTTTTTCTTGAAATGGAGCCTGTACCTATATTGCTGTCTTAAAGGATTCTGTCATGCTGCCTGAACAGCCTTCTTGAATAGAGTCTCTCTTTATCGTCAGGTGTCAGCTGCACTGAGTTGGGAGAAAAATTGGAAGAATCTGTCTACTTGAAAAAGTAAAACAGAACCATCCCTCTGTCTGAACCTAGAGGCAGAAAAAAGAGTAAACACATTCACATAGCTCCATAAACCAGTCAGTACAAAACACAGGAAAGCTGGCTGTTTAAAGAGGAGAAGGAGGAAGGGAATGCTACAAGACTGACTGTCTTGAAGATTTAAAACATGAGGGAAAACTAGAGATGTCCAAGCCTGATGGAGCAGTGGATTCCCATGAAAGAGAAATTAAATGTCTGGGCCTCTCCTACACTTATAATGCAAATTGTGCTACTCCTCTGTAAGTGCAGATACTACCAGATAGCAGAAAAGGGCTGGTCCTGCAGGCATGAGAGGAGCAAAACTTGGGGAATTCATGTGGGAATGCACAGTCCCCATCTCTGTGACACACAGATGATGCGGAAACAGGATGAGGTTGAAGAAAAGCAGTAGATTCACTGCTACCTGAGACTCACCAGCCACCCGTGACTCTGTCTCCATGGAAGTAGTTTCTGATAAAAGTACAAAACCACAGTACGAAGTTGTAAGATTTTTCTTAAAGATTTTGGGGATAAAACATTTGTAAATTAGTTCGTGGTTAATACTTAACATTTAAATATTTTGTATAATGTTTTTCTTGTAAAGTATGATGCTAATCAGTTTTTTGTATTGGATACAATGCATTATATTTGTTCTTCTGTAAATGCTCTAGCAATGTTTTCTTTTTAAAATAGAGATATGTTAATCTAACTTTCTTTTCCCAGGCCAGTAACATCTTCTGTGGCGCTTTCCTGTAGAAATCTTTACTTAATGTTCTGTATCAACTTTATGGATTTTTATTGTCCAAAGCAAACTGGAACAATGTTTTCAGAGATTTCAGTTACGCATTTGAGTCACCAAGTATTCTACTGCCATGCACAGTTACTGCTTTTGTCTGTATCATAGGTCTGGCCTAATTTTTTTCCCTTCTTTTCTTTTAATTTTAGCTGGAAGAAAAATAGCAGTCAGGAAAACCAGACACATGATAGAAGGGAAGGCATAACTGGGAGCTTTAGTGTTCATTCATGAAATTGTCAAATGAGAAAGAGGAAGAGATGGCATAGCAGCACATACAACTTAGCTAGAAAGGAAAATAATCGCATTTCTTCTCTCTGCAGCATGTATGAGTTGAATGCTAATGCTGTCGTCTTTAAATCCTGCCAGTATAAATGCTGCTTTTCATCTTTGCAGAGAGACTGGCGACAGCATGCAAAGCAATATCAGTGCCCATCCTTTTAACAAAAGAGCACTATGTTGGCAGGCACACCTCTTATTCCTGTCGTGTTAGTCCTAGCCAGCAGCTTTCAAATATCAGTATTACAACTTAGTAGTTTCATGTAGGTGTAAAAGCTGGTCTCATTACAATTTCTTTTAATAAAACAGCTTAAACTGATGATGAAGACCAACTGGATAGTATACTGTAAAAATTGAGAAGGGAGGATGAAAAATATAAAACTTGTCCTCTCCTTAGCTCACAGCCTGTCATCTTTGTGGTGAAAAGGGGAGAGAGAAAGCAAGAGAGACAGACAGACTTCAGTTGAGCTCATATCAGCTAAACCTGTTCATTTTCCCATTTGGAATAATGTCATCCTTTAGCTCCAGGCATCTCCTTTTCTCTAATAGCAAAAAGAATACCACAGGAGGTCTCAACAAATGACATACTGGTCCATTGGTACAGCTGGTACATGGGATTGGGCTGCAGGAGAGGCGACTTCTGCTGCATAAATTGAGACAGAGTTGATCAGCAACGAAATAAGCAGCAAGAAACAGCAGGGCCTCATGTTAGGTGCAAGAAATCCGATAGGTCTGTTAAACCTACTGCATAAGGAAGACCTTATGCATACTGCAGCGCAGGAGTTTGGGGTCCCAAGTGTTATTCGGTAGAAAGAAGTTCTACTTGAATTTAATCTTACTTTTCCTTCAAAGATAATTCAGAGATACACTTAACCAAAAATTATTTTGATTGTAAAGTTAAGGAAATACCTAAGCATCCATAAATTTGTTAATACTAATTATAGTCCTTTGTGCATATACATTGTGAATGCATACAGATACACATACAAAATACATATATGTGTAACTTACTGCAGTATATGAGCAACTCAATTCCTGGTAGTGTTTTTATTGTTTTTCATGCTTTCAGAAGGATACCGCTTGGATCCAAGTTTTAAATATGGAAAACTGAGACTAAAGGATTATGTTTACAGGGAATTTACAGTAGGGTTTGAATTCACCGTTTACTAGCTACTCTACCTTGTTTTTCCATGTAGATAGCTTTGTATGAGGGTCATCTGACTGAAACTTAGACATCTATATTTCATTGTCAGCGTCTAAGTGGCTACCCTCATCACCATGTATGTTAAACAAAAAGAACAGGATCTCATTCTGCAAGAGGTGGCTAAAATATAAGGAATGGTTCACCCAAAGAGGTCTTTTATCTTCAATGACAATGAAGAGACCAGCTTAGAAAACCTGAGATGCCAAAATTAGTTGAAATGAGACCCTCCCCTTAATGCATGTGCACTGCCTAGTTGGGAAGGAAAAGCAGAGTAAGTAATGCACTGTAAAGTGATACCCTGTGACTCAGTAATGTGCCATTATAGGCAATCCCTAATGGCCTGTACCAGCAAGACTGAGTTCAAAACTAGCACACTGGGTTTTTTTAATCTTTTGAATGATAAACTTTCCAATCTACATGTGAATTTACATAAAATTGTGTTAAGTTAGATACAATTTATTTGTATAAGAAAATGCATGTATCTGAAAACATCATAAACTGAAGTGGTTTTATGTCTTGTCCTATAAAACATCTTCCCATCTGAAGGATATTAGAGAAACAATTCTGGAGATTACGTGCAGATGGTTTACAGAGGTCGTTTTATTCATCATCTTAAAAGAGAATAGGAAGATTAACTCAAGAATTTATGAAATGTTGTATTCAGTTGCAATACAAATAGGGGTATTTGCGGTAGTAATGTAATAGCCCACTAAAATTTGGTTAAGAAGGAAGTGAGGGAGGTAATGCACTACTTGGGCAAGGAAAAACCCAAAGCAACTGTCCTTCATCATGAGCGGTAGCTGCTAATATAGTTATGGCAACTTGCTGCTCCCAAACAGTATGCTTGTTTCTATTCAGAACAGGCTTAAAAGAGCAAGCAAATTCACATAAGCAGTTCTTCACAAATTTCTCATTCACGTTTGCATCTATCATGGAACCCATCTGCATAACGTCTTACCCTGCATAAAATCTACAAGTATTTTCCATTTTGAATTATGTGAAACCAGTTTTCAAATATGAACGTAAATGACTGCTTCCTTCATTTTAAATAATCAGTAACGTTTTGTGATATGCTAGGACCAGGACAGTTTAGCTGCAAGAATTAATGTGAAAATATGTTAATTTTTTTAACGTTTATTCTATGACTATATAAACCATTACATAATTCCTTTTTATTTCAAAGCTTAGATAGAGCTATTCATAACTTTGGAACCTCAGTTGGCAATTGTTGTATGTTGTGCAGAGCAGCAAGTGGTCATAACTCTTTTTGACACTGATACTGCTGCTGGAAGGAACTGCAGGCTAGCTTCATTCATTTGCCCATAAATTATTCAAACCAGCTTTGGGTTTGTACCACGGGTAGAACAGACTTCCAAGATGAGTAAATTTTCTACTTCCACTCCTGATGATCATTTCCTGTCTCCAAAACCAAAGAATCATTCATTTGACATTAACAGCAGATAGCAAAATACTGCCCAAATACAAAGTGCTAGGATTTTTGCAACTTTTGCTGGTTGGTGCAAAAGCCCAAATTGTAATAAAAAATTAACCATGCTGAGTAAGAACATTCAAATACTTTAAATACTCCCCCCCCCTTTTTTTTTTTCCCTTTCTTTTTCCTCCCCACGAAAAGTTACTGTCCATGGCAGAACTGTGGAGAAGCTCTTTTCTGGAGCTATTCTCAGAGTAGTTAGTTACTTCAAAGCAAGTTGTCATCTGCCTTTGACACACAAGCAAGGAAGACACTTTCACAATAACATCTGAAGCTTCATTTGTAATGTCTGTGATACAACTTTAACTTAGGATTCGGGGAATGGGTATTCTTCTATATCCAACAGTCAGGAAATGTTGGCATTTTTTGATGCATTTAAGGATGCAAAAATTACAGAGATCCTGTTCATAAGCCAAGGCCCCTGCCTACTTCTCCCATAAACTAAGGTCTACAAGCCTGCATCCTGCTGTGGGGTTGGGCAGACTGTGGTACAGGGCCTCAGCCTCTCGTCCAGTCCTCTGCCTCCTGACAGCTGCCCTTTTGTCATTCAGTTGTATTGAATGCTGCCTGCTGGACCCCAAAACCCCTTGACTGAGCTGCATTGAAAGAAGCAGCTATTCTTTCCAGTGAAGCTTCCTTTCTTTTTTTACTATAAAAGATATCTGATGTCACTTTGGCCAGTCTCCTTATGCCCAGCCCAAGAAAATCATTCTTAGGCTCTTCAGCAAGTGACCAGATCATGACTTCTGGTTTTAATAGTGCCTACTCAAAAGGTAGATGATACAGGCTCCTCTGAGCTAACTCCTGCCTGTGCTTTGACTTAGAAGCCACCTTGTTTGTCCTTCTGTCTAGTCAACTCTTCTCTGAGCCTGATTGGAAGATGGGCAGTGACTGTGTCAGAAGACAATTCTGATTTTTTTTTTTTGTCATACCTGAGCCGGTCAAATTTTCCACCTGGCATGAGATACAGCATAAAATGAGTTTTTCTTAAGTATCTTATAGAAAGGAGGTTATCTTAAAGGAAGAGTTATCTAAATAGAACTGGTAGATATGGTTGCTTTTCTCCATGTTTCATTTTTGATAGCTCTTACTAACTGTGAATTGTAACTTTCCCCAATAAAAGAGTCACCATTTAGGACTACAAGTGTCCTCTGATTATTGTAAGCTACACTGCAGTATGCATGACACATTGTTATTTGCAAAACATTCAAGTAGCCTAGTAGCAAATTCTGTTTCATGAAGGAAAATAGTACAACAAGGTTTGAGGACAGGACTATATTTCACTGCACATCTGTCTTGTGCCAGTAGCTAGGTTTCAGTTTATGCTCAATACAGCCTGATTCCATCAATAAAACCTGATTAGACCTAGATTTCGTTCTTTATTTGTAAAGACTGAAATAATATAAGTATATAAAAAAAAAAAAGAAAAAAGGTTTCCCAATGAAAATATTCCTTCTAAAATTTTTTTCAGTTGAATGTTATTGAAAATCCTAAAAGATTGTCTGTTTTAAATATTGTCTCCTAATCCAGATGCTGCTTTCATAGAAACCCATTGTGGCTGCTTCTTTTTTGAACTCACCGTGATTAGAATGAAATCCTGTTTATACTCTGTTCATGGAAAATATTTTTCTTAAATAATATGAAGCTCATTTTCCTTTTCCCCCCCACTCTCTAGATATGACCCAGACATTTTGTTAGGCTATGAAGTCCAGATGCATTCCTGGGGTTATCTCTTACAGAGGGCTGCTGCACTAAATGTTGATTTATGCCAGATGATTTCTCGTGTGCCAGGTAAGTTATTGTATAGGGTTTCAGTTCAGTTCCAATAGAAACAAGTTGAAATCTATGAATAAATTTAAAAAATAAATGCAGAATATTTCTTCAGATGGACCTCATTCTTCATTATTGCTGTTATGTTATAGGTATAATCACACACAAAAAAAATAAATTTGAAATACCAATGAGATCGTGGTTTTCAGTGTTTTCTGAATTTTTAAATTCCTAGTGTATTCCACTTTTGGGTGTGTCCTGTATCCATGAACCTAGACTCATTTTCAGTTGTCTTGTGCATTAAGTTTTCAGTTCTTGGAGGTGCTTCTGCTATTAAACCTTCTCTTGCTTCTCCTCAGCTTCAGTCATATGTATATGTCATTCAGGGTACCTACCGTAATCATTATTCGTGGTTTCTCTGACTGGGATATGAGGACATAAAGATGCTCCTGAGCAGCACTCATCTTGGTCAGCAGCTCTGTAATAAAATCCTGACTGTCAATAGCCATTCCTGTACTGTGGGCAAATTTTGTTGGCCCAAGTGCTGATGATTTCCTCCAACATTCAGAAAAAGATCTGTTTGGGTTTTTTCATTGAAAACCTTGGGAAAGTTATCCAGAAGAGTGGTAAGCCTAGTGTCTATCCTTAGCCAATCAACAGAAGCTATCATTCTGAAGAATGCACTTAGTGAACAGCTAAATAAATGTGTTGCACCTGAGAAGAGTCAAGATGACTTTGTAAAATTAAAAACTGTCTCAAAAATTTGTTGTAGTTATTTGCAGTCATCAAGATGTGGATGAGGGAGATACGATTTTAAAAATTAAAACAGTTGAAAAAGCGGCTTTTGTTAGGGCTCTTGCCAAAGATCTGTACAGAAACTAAATAGCCATGAAATAAGAAGTGCTTTCCTGTGATTGTCCTATTAAAAACTTGATCCTGTTACTCTGTAATGGTCGAAAGAGCAAATGAAATGTTAGGAATTATGGAGCAGGAAAAATATGAAACAAGGAATGTAAATGTCAAAATCTGTAGTGTTCTTGCACCTCAAATACTGTGGTTCTAACCTATTCATAATTTTTCCCCCATCAAAATGGATATAGGAGAACTGGTAAACATGAGAAGGGTAATCCAAATGTGTCTAGTAATTTAGTAAGTTAGGATTCCAGAAGAGACAAAACTGGGTAAGGAAGGTAAAAGCCTATGAAATCTTGAGAGATATAAAGGGAAATATGGATTGGTTGTTCATGGTCTTTTCCAATGCAAGAACAAGAAATCATCAAATAAAGCTAGCAAATGGCAGCTACAGAACAGGAGTTGATTTTTCACCCCTAGGTTGTTGAACTGTTGAGTTCCTTGCCACAAGATAGTACAAATGCTTAAAGTGTATGTTGCTTTAAGAGGAGATAAATTCTTGGAAGAAAAATCCCTTAGAAACTATTATATATGTGAAAATAATGTCTGGCCCAGGAAGCTGCAAATGGTTAGAAGCTGGGGGAGTTCTAGAGAGATTATCAATAGCTTCTTCCCCTGTTCTTGAAGCATGTGCTTTTAGGTACTTGATAGAACATGATACTGGGCTAGTTGCATCATTGGTCTTACCCAGCATAGCAATAGCATCTTTTATGTTGGCATCCTGTGTGCCTGGCCAGAAGAACATGATGTTTTAGGAGAGCTATGTTCACACGCTCCTTCCTTGAGGTTTGAATATTTGTGCATTCTTTTGATGCCTTCAAAATCTTTTGATGCTCTTGATACCTGTGACCTGTTCAGAAAAGGTCTGAGTTATAGAGACCTCCCAGGGACAAGAAAACATAAGAAGAAATTTGCATCTTCAGTTGAAAGTTGTTGGCAACTGGACCTTGGTGAATTTTTAAATACTTAATATATGAAAACAGGAACACATGACAGTTTAAATATGAATTGGCCATCAAAGGTCACAAGTTTCCTTCTTCAGCACAAAGGTCTCAAATTTTTTCTTCAGGAATAATAACTGATTGCATGAACCTTGTTATTAAATTCCCCTGATGTCTCAAATTGAGATGATACACTGGTTGCAATAATAATGCCTCTGGGTACAGTCTCCAGAGGTATTGAAGGACGTTCAGAAAAACTTTTGACCCCTTACACTGCAAGATTTACAATGTCTTTGATAAGAGGAACGGTAAGCATTGCAGTCAAAGATTTCTTAAACCTCCAAAGATCACAAAGGTTTACTGCTCTACTATAGAAGTATGGCTGAACAAGCTCTTCAGTTTGAGACAGGTAACTAATGTGTCTCTGCTTTTGTTCTCAAAGGCTGAGTCACAGCTCTTGTCTTGCAGGACAGCTATGTCTGCACTACAGTGCAGAATCAACAGTTACATCAGCAAAGCTCTTGATAGTACCCGTCTTCATGACATAAGCTGTTGTTCAAGTTACTGGAATTGGGATGCACATGAAGAGTTCCTCAAAGAAGAAAGGTTACTTCTCTGGGAACTGTATGGTTCTTGATGGTGATGTCCCTATGTATTTCACAGTCGGGCTTCCTTCCCTACAACTATGAAGTCCCACACAACATGACTTCATTTCTAGTGAAGGAAACCAGGGTTGTAGCCCTTAGCATCTTTGGACATAAAGTTCCAGTGGGCATGCAGGACATAGGCATCATCTCCACAGCACTGGTATTCATAGCACAGATGTTCTTGTGCCAGGTGGTAGATGCACACCCAGAAGTGGAATACATAACACTTAAAATGTTTCTAAGAACTAGTGTTACTGTAAGGTAAGTAATTATTTTTTGACTGAACTGCAGGAGAAAGATAAGAAAATGTTCACACTGATGAGCTCCTCCCAAAAACGTCATGCCATAAGTGTGGGCTTGCATGCATGACCATAAACGTACAAGTGTTGTATTCTCTGTTGCTTTGTGGCCTCCTTGTCCGTGGTTTTGACCCCATCTATGTTCCTCTTGCTTTTCCAACCCCTATGCTTCATATTTCCCTCCCTTCTTCACATGCTGTATTTTCAGAACAGGAAGTGCTCCTTCAAGCAGTATGCTCCTCTTTCCTCCTATTGAAATAAAGATGGAAGGTACTTTTCCTTCCCTTTCCTGTGATTTCAACTTAACAAAAAGAAAGCTGGACTTCTCTCTGGTTTTGCTTTATTGGCTGAGTCTGGTGCTGCCTCTGCCATTTACAAGTGAACTATTCATAAGTCATTAGGACACACCACAAGAGAAGTGAGTACTGTGCCTGTGCGTAGTGGCATTTTTTGTGTGTGCACTGTGGCCTCCTGTTTCCTCCTTTGCATCACAGCTCAAAGTTAGGGAGTGGGTAACAGAGGATGAGGAGACTTCTTTTTATTTCATCTCACACACTTGAAAGCTAGGAAGAATGTCCACTTCTGCTTCTTAACAACTTTGTTTCCGAAGAGGCTCATGTGGTTCTGGTATATTCCCCACACCAGTTACAGAGCACTGCAGGTTTTTGTAATTTTGCAATGCTCATCGCACACGGAGTCTCTCATTCATCACGTCTCTTTTGTGACCGCAGTATACTTTGTCGCCTGTCTTTACCAGCAAGACATGAAGCGAACTTAAGAAACATAGGGAATCTCCTAAACAAGTCAAAACAGAGCTAGGATGACACTGTGGAAAACAGAACTTACTGATAGTTTCTGCTTGAGTTAGGGGAATGTCCTAGGGGAATCTCACTTTCACAGGAGATCCAGCACGTGGAAATGAAGAAAAGTAGAAGAAAAAATGTTGCTGCCTGTGGGGCTTTTTTCCCATCCAGACAGTTTCAAGAAATATATACCAAAAAGACTGTCTTTCGTGTTGTATTTCAAAGCATGAAAAAAACCAAGGATGGCAAAAGAGGATATCTTTCCTGTACTGTAGTCACCACTGTCTTACAGAAAGATTCAGAGTGCTACTTCTGCCTCTGCATTTGTTCCTTCCTATTTCCTTCTCTTCCCATTTGTGCTGTCCAGAACTCACGTCTACCTGCTCCCACTGCAGTGGGTTTGCTTTTGCTGTATGAAAGGCCCTGAGTTTTCTTCTCCCATGACCTGGTTCCGACTGTGTAAGATCATTACAAGTAAAGCCTTGAGTTATAAACTCTTTAGGGCAGGAATCACTTCTTTTTTTTTTTTATTTTTTTATTTTTGTGCACTAATGTGCATGCAGCTAGCTCTCAAGTAACATTCAGTATTGCTTAACCAATATATTTGCTATGGAGAATATATTGCCATGGACACCATTTCAATGAAACCAAAATAAGAGTTATCTTCAGAGGGATGTGCAAGAGCAGAAAAACCTGGGGTGTTTTATTTAGAGATTGTGTGGAAGACTGGTAAATAAACAATCTTGTGCAATCAGTAACCGTCTTTATGCATTCTTATTTTTCTAGAGAGCTGAAGTTGGAAGAGGGATAGCTTGAACTGGTTTTGACTGTCCTATAACTTGTCTAAATACATTCTCTTTTAATGTCTTTAGATGAAAAGAAAGAGAACAGATTTGCGGCTGAGCTGGATGAATATGGGTCAGATACAATGAGTGAAATACATATTGTTGGGCGAATTATCTTAAATGTTTGGAGAATGATGAGAAATGAGGTAAAATTTTTAAAAGGTTAATGTATTTGACTTAGTGATTTTTTTTAATTATTGTAGACTTTGTTGAAAATTTCATGTAACTTATGTAACTTCTTGTTCTTTGTACACCTTTTCAAATAGAGCAGTGTGCCACTTTGTGAGAGTGGATTTTGCATATCACTAAAATGTAAAATACTGAAGCCCTTATCTTTCAGTAATGTTTCTTAATTATATTCCTTTTCACTTCTTTATGGGTTTTGAGAGCAACTTACCTGTTTTAGCAATTTGTCTAGTATGGTTCTTTTACTAAATTAAATACTTGAACTTATTTTACGCTGTCAGACTTACTCATTGTTTTGCTGTTTATGACCTTACATTTAATACTCAAATGGTTCAGTCTTTACAAATCTTGTTCTGACCAAATTCAGACCTGATCTTTGTGATCTACTTAATTCCTCATATTCTTTTCAATTGATGACGGATATACTTTCCTGACTTCTAAATAGTTAGGAACTTCTAAGTAGAAATGTTTACCTTTTTAACAAAGAATACTAATAAAAAGTTAATAAATTTACTCATTACAGTTTTTAAGAAGTAGAGATTTCTTTGACTATGAAAGACATCAAGCATCTTAATACATCCTCTGTGTTTTTCTAGGTGAATCTAATGAATTACACTTTTGAAAATGTGGGCTTTCATGTTCTTCATCAACGTTTTCCTTTATTTACTTTCCGAGTTCTGTCTGATTGGTTTGATAATAAGGCAGATGTCTACAGGTAATGATCTATTAATTCATTCTGTTCTTTTTAAGGCCAGTTTCTTAACATTGAAAGGTATAAGCTAAAGTCAGCATAGGAAGAAATAATCAATTTAGCTCAGGTACTAGAACAGTCTGTATGCAGCAGCATGAGCTTATTTACTCTGCTGTTCTGCTATGTTCTGTTGTGTAGTTATATCCTCAATATTTTGTCTTTGTGTATTTTTTCTGTTTAAAGTACACAAAAACAAAACAAATTTTCAGTTACAGGTTCAACATATCTGAATAGATGTACTATTTTGAAGTTCTGTAAGGTCTTTATTTTGTATATACTATTCATCAGAAGGACTTCTAATGAACTGTCAGGTTTCCGTTTTACTTCACAGTGCATGTTAACCTAGCTAGGCTTAAAAATAGTACAAAACAGAGTGCAAAATGTTAGGACAGTAAGTATAGCTGCTTAAAAATACCTTTATATGACACATCACACTGGGCTTCAGCGATGAATTGGAGTGATTTGGTATCGTGTGATATGAACAATTCATAAAACTGAGTACTGATCTGAATGTCATTCGTGACATACATATAATTTCTGTAAAAGTTAAATACTTTTCAACTAGGTGGAAACTTGGTTTAGTGCTGAAATTATGAAGTTATGTTTAACTGAGGTAGGTATTCTTAATACAGAAGGATGTTTCCACAAAAGTCCACTCAGTTAAAAAACCCATGTAAACAGAGGAAGAAAAACTCAAGTTTCTGTTTCAGTAATCCCGTAGGGCAGTAAGGAAAACAGGATATGGTACGTCATTGAGATATGCCTTGGTAGTAGTTTGCTGTAACACATTCTGTGTATATCTTTAGAATACGTAAGTGTATGTTTATGTGTGACACCTTTTTGAAAGAGCTGCATGAAAATGTCCTAGAGGAAATTTTATTTGCTGGTTTGTAACAAGCTATCATAAAAATACGTTTTTCTTAGTAGAAAAAGCAGCACTCTCCTGATTGTTTATAACAAGGCGTTCACTTTCGCAGATGGAAAATGGTTGATCATTATGTTAGCCGGGTCCGTGGGAATCTCCAGTTGTTAGACAAACTGGATTTGATTGACAGAACAAGTGAAATGGCAAGACTTTTTGGCATTCAGTTCTTACATGTATTAACAAGAGGCTCCCAGGTAAGATTTCATTTTCCTTACACTTCACAAAAGCAAAGTAGTCTTTACAAAATGTTTTAGTTCTTCAGTATTTTTTCAGTCAGTATATATATTTTCATAGGGTCACAGAAGACTGTTTTGCATAACATGAAATTGAAATGTAAAGAAAGGCAATCCAAAAGCAGTAATAATGGATTGAGTGGTTAGTCTCAGAGATTAAAAATAGCTGTTAAAAATAGAGTGCCCCAAATGTAATCACACCAGTGAGTCTCTTCTACTGACTTTGAGAGCACTAAGTTTTCCCTTTGACTTGGTATTTTTCACACTTAGATGAGTCTGAAAATGAATGCTTTTTAAAACATTATGAAATATAATTGAACACATTTTAGAAAGATGAGGTGATTTTCTTCCAGGGCAGACAAAGTCACATCGAATATGTTTTAAGTGACATTGCCTGTGAAGCAGACCTCTGGGTGAGATTTGATGATCAGACAAGAAGGGCTCTGGCTTTATTAAGTACATGTTTCATGCAAGATGTGTGTGGTTCTGTTATTTTGATACTAGCATTAGAGGGAGAGGGAGCAGGACAAAGTGAGATTTACACTACTCTTTCTTTGAGATCCCAGCAGTCTCCAGTAATACCAAAGGCTTTCCTTGCCCAGGTTCTGAGTGACTAGACTAACTAGACTGTTTTCGTGGCTTCACGTGAGCCCTGAACAGCACCTGAAATGAGAGACAACTACTCTCACTTACATGTGTCTGCTCTGCTGTTGTCATCTTCTTTCCTACCATCTTTCTGCTTTCTGTTTTAATAGATGTGTAGCTGAGCTGACCAGGATTGATTATTTTGCCAACTTCTGTGGACAAAAAGACAACTTAAAAACTAATGTCCTAAGCAGACCAGCATTGTCTTAAGCCAGCCAGAAACAGGAGTGTCTGAAGCTGCAGTTCCTTAACAATTCAACCCAATTTAAAAATATTGCCACCTTTTTTCCTTTGACTGCAGTTGCCTGTCTCATCCCTTGACACAGTGCAGGTTCTTGTTGGTCTTGCTATATTTGGGGGGCGGGAGGGCAGCGGCAGTGGTGGCAAAACCGTGGTGGCATTCAGTAGAATCATAGAATGGTTTGGGTTGGAAGGGACCTTAAAAATCATCTGGTTCCAACCCCCCTGCCATTCTGGGCAACCTGTTCCAGTGCCTCACCACCCTCATAGTGAAGCATTTCTTCCTTATATCTAATCTAAATCTACCCTCTTTCAGCTTAAAGCCATTACCCCTTGTCCTATCACTGTGCGCCCTTGTAAAAATCCCTCTCCAGCTTTCCTGTAGGCCCCCTTCAGGTGCTGGAAGGCTGCTATAAGGTCTCCCCAGAGCCATCTCTTCTCCAGGCTGAACAACCCCAACTCTCTCCGCCTGTCCTCATAGGAGAGCTGCTCCAGCCCTCTGATCGTCTCCGTGGCCCTCCTCTGGACTCGCACTCCAACAGGTCCATGTTCTTCTTATGCTGGGGGCCCCAGAGCTGAACGCAGTATTCCAGGTGGGGCCTCACGAGAGTGGAGTAGAGGGGGAGAATCACCTCCCTCAACCTGCTGGTCGCCCTTCTTTTGATGCAGCCCAGGATATGGTTGGTTTTCTGGGCTGCAAGCACACATTGCTGGCTCATGTTGAGCTTCTCATCAATCAACACCCCCAAGTCCTTCTCCTCAGGGCTGCTCTCAATCCATTCTCCGCCCAGCCTGTATTTGTGCTTGGGATTGCCCTGACCCATGTGCAGGACCTTGCACTTGGCCTTGTTGAACTTGATGAGGTTCTCACAGGCCCACCTCTCCAACCTGTCAAGGTCCCTCTGGATGACATCCCTTCCCTCCAGTGTGTCGACCGCACCACACAGCTTGGTGTCATCGGAAAACTTGCTGAGGGTGCACTCAATCCCACTGTCCATCTCGCCGACAAAGTCGTTAAACAGGTAGATAGGTATTTGCCAGTTTAGCTCCCTGATCTCGTTTACCATGTCATCAGAAAAGTACCGCTGCTGGAGCAAGGGAAGAGAAATGCACAGTTAGGGACAGGGAGGGTGGGACTGGCATACTGCCAACGTATATATGCTTAAACTGTCGTGATTGCAGCCTGCAAAGACTGTTCTGCCTGTCATTTTCTCAAATGACTGTGAGTGGGAGTGAGGAACAGAAACATGCTGCATTTTCCATCCTGACTGTTCTTTTCTCTTTCCTTCTGTGCACGTATGTTTTGTTTCCATTGAAACTTTCTAGATCACAAAAATGGCAGTTGAAACAATTCCCAGTCACCTCAGATAATTTTTTTTCAGTCAGAAGAATCATCACTACCTTTCATGAAGATATTCCTTTTCTCCTTAGCTGAAGAAGATGTTAAAATGTGTCATGTCCCACCTGGGAGAAGGGGGGGGACACACAACACTAAAATTCACAAATCCTCTCGGGGTGGGTTAAGGTGGGCCAACACTCAAGGTCCGTACACAAACGCCAACTTTAATGGAAAGCTTCTATGGAAACAAATATTGAGTACGAATATTTGATACCCACCAGCCCTCTCGCAATTATATCTACCCCAGCTATGGGGCTAAGCTATGCAGCTTTATGGAAAATCAAGGTAGGCCATGCAGTACTTAACTACAATGTAACATCTTTAAGAACTTAATAACCTTAGGAGAAGTGAAAGAAAGAGGGGGAGAGAGAGAAAGAGGCAAGAAGAGGAGAATTACCAGTCCTGGATCCAGCATTGGACCTGCCAATGGGGGTATTCAGTGGAGAGAGCCCCCAAGAGAGAGCGAGAGTCCCTATTTATAGATTTCAGTCTCTAGACCTCTGGAACCTTTTCTCGTCCCAGTTCCAGGAGTGGTAGAGATATGGCAGCTTATGCTGCTGCAAAACTACACTTTCAAACCCCAACCTGTTTGTAAGGCGGCAGGGTCTTGTTAAAGCTGTTGGTTCTGTAAGTTAAAGTTAAAGAAATTATACCTAACTCATGCAGTACAATGAGTGAATACGTAGTGCGTCAGGCAGAGGGCTTTTGAATAGTCATTTAGTTGCTAACAAAGCACAGGATCTTAGGATTATATAGGATTGTTCTTTGATATTTTGGGATTTTCAGTCCTTTGCCAGCCATGTATGTAATTTTCAGCTATTTTGGTTTTTATTGTGAATGGACACAGTGAATACCTGGCTGCTAGTCTTTTAAAACCTTACTAAAGCATTGAATAATACATTAATAAATAGGGCTGGTTTTTTATCATGTTGCTTCTTCCACATATGACATTTTGTGATGTCTTGAACAAGGTGAAAGTTCTTAAACTTTTTGTTATTTTATGCTGCCTGTACTACTTGTGGCATCACCAAGGAGAAAGCATTATACCCAGTGCAAAGCAGCAGACTTTTGAAATGGGCTGACACAAATTCTTCCCTTGGTTTTCTTGCTGCCAAGTACATTCTGGTTACTTCTCATGGTCAAAAGCTTGGAGGCACAATTATCAACTTACACAACTTGCATGTCATTTCTCTGTTTTCCCAAATGTTGAAATAAAATTGCTGTGCAGATTCCTATGGAGAATGGTCATCAACTGCATATTATACTTTGTTTTCTTCAATGTTCTGCAAGTCTTAACAAACATACAGTTTAGCAAATGCTCGTTCACTGACTGTAGCATGGCCATCCGTATGTATTGTGGTAGCCTGTTCAATATTTATTTTTTTAACCTGAGCTGGATGTTTATTTTCCCCATAGATAAAAATTAGAAGTACTTGATTTTCAATGATTAGGGCTAAGTGATGAGGAAACACATGGGAAAGTTCCACTATAGGTCACAGAAAGTACACATTAAAAGTAAGAGTATGGCTATTTATTTTGAAAAGCTAATTGTCTGTACTTTAAATTCAGGAAATGTAAGTGCGTATTTACACAGTTTTAATACACTCATGTTTATTTTGCATTTTTGAAATTGTAATTATATCCAAACTGTTTTGCAGTATCGTGTGGAGTCTATGATGCTGCGTGTTGCAAAGCCAATGAATTATATTGCTGTGACGCCCAGTGTCCAACAGCGAGCTCAGATGAAAGCCCTGCAATGTGTTCCCTTAATAATGGAGCCAGAATCCCGCTTCTACAGCAATGCTGTTCTTGTATTAGATTTCCAGTCGTTATATCCTTCCATTGTGATAGCATACAACTACTGTTTTTCAACCTGCCTGGGACATGTTGAAAACTTAGGAAAGTAAGTTGTTATTCTTTTCTCACAAACTTTGATTCCGTAGAAACTTCAGCATCTTTTTCGAAGGTGCTGAGAACCCTTGCTTGTCATTGGAAACAACAGGCATGTATGAGTAGCACCATTTTCTGTTATGCAATAGAGGTGATAAAGATCTACCATGTGGGTGTGTGCATGTGTGTATACACACACACATATACACATCAATATGTATTTTTAATTAAATACAGAATTAGACTCCATTCTGTTAAAAAAAAAAACCAAACACCTCTGTATGTGCATGTGTATGTATGTACACGTGTTCCATTACTGTGGTGATGCTAGTTTTTAATATTGCTTCAGCATAAGTTAAAATGATGTATAAATCCACTACCTATTTTCAAAACTGGACTAGTATTATTCTGCTATATGTTAATAAATTGTTGTTCTCTTTTAACAGTTGTAGTTCACTCTGGTCTTAACTATTCAAAATGATATGATACAATGAGTTATTCTGTGTAGCATCTCTTATTGAGCTTAACAGTAATTTTGTTAATTGAAAAAAAATCTCATTGCTTATTATAATTACCTCTATAAAACAATATTTGGAAGAATGGGAAGATGCATGCAGTGATTGCTAGGTGTCACCATCAGGTTTCCAAGTTTCTGATTTGCAATTCTGAATCTGTAGGAAGAAAATATATGCAATGTTTTACTTGGTAAACATGCATGGTTTCCACAGGGGATTACAGTATGAATACGTGCCTCCACTAACTCAGCATTTGGAAATAATGCATTAATGCAGGACAGAATTGATAAATTACGCATGTGTTGGAATTTAGCCATTTATTACTGCTTTATTCCTAGAGCCTTTTGCATGTAGCTAAGAAATTTTAAATGATAGTATGTTTGTTCATACCTGAGATTATAATTGTGGTTGTATCCTTGCTGGCATTATCAGCATTTTAATGTGAGCTGATGCTTTTGCTTCATTGGGCTGTAAATGAATGAATTGTCTTCATATTTAATTTTTCTCTTTATTAGATACGATGCATTCAAATTTGGCTGTACATCTCTCAGAGTACCTCCTGACTTACTTTACGAGATTAGGCATGATATCACAGTGTCACCCAGTGGAGTAGCTTTTGTCAAGGTAATGATATTTGTGCTCTGTGACAGGCGTTTTCACTTCCTGTCGGCTGACTAGCTTACGATCAAATTGATACTGTAGTTTATATTTTGCTGCATTAAGAGCAGGCAGGCAGAAGAGGGGAGGTTCAGTCTCTCATTTCCCACTGTTTTTTGATATTTGTCAGAGTGCTGAACTTCTGGCAGTTCAGGAAATAAAATGTCATCTCTATGCTTCCCTTTATACTGAAAGCTTATTTCATCTATAATTAAACTGTATTTTACTTGTGCAGTTTGGGGATCAAACAGTAATTATCTGTGCGTAACACTTCATTCTTCTCCTGCCTGTATGGCAGAATGCTTTCCCAGAAAAAGAGTAATGGTTCGGAAGATGAAACTCCCTGACTTGCTTTCTATTTTTCTCATTTTCTATTATGTGTACTGCTGGCTGATTTGTAATGAATAAATTAATAAATATGGCCTGGAGCTCTTATAAATAATTATCCAATCACCAGCATACATATATTTAATGTAAAGCAAAAACTTTAAGTAAAGAATATTTGCAGAATTTTTGTAAGATAATATTCCTTTAACATTTAACATTTTGAGAATTAACAGTTAAATATTGAAGTCCCATTTTAGTTAATAAGGTTATCTAAACATTGCATTAGCAGGGCTGATGAAAACAAGGAACAAAAAGCTATTTACCCTGCGCTTAAGAGCTTTTCCTGTATTCTAGGTTGCTCGTAATATTTGTGGAAGAGCCAAACCGTTGGTGCCTAGGGCATCTTGCTAATTAATTTGTCTTCTTAACAGTGATTATCTAACAATTCTGGGTTTTACATTTACTTCTAACTGTTTAGGTTGGGCTTTTTAACATAATTTTTTCTTTGTTCCCTTTATGGCAGCCTTCAGTAAGAAAGGGTGTGCTGCCAAGAATGCTAGAAGAAATCTTGAAGACTAGGATAATGGTGAAACAGTCCATGAAGGCTTATAAGCATGACAAGGCTATAACTCGAATGCTGGAAGCTCGTCAGTTGGGTCTTAAATTTATAGCTAATTTTACATTTGGCTATACTGCTGCTAATTTTTCTGGAAGAATGCCGTGCACTGAGGTAAGGGATGCAGAAAAAACATGGAAAAGACACTATTAATAAACTATAGTCAGATAACACAGTATTATTATATGAAACATATTTAATCTAAATACCTTTGTAAAAGCTGTTTTTATTTGTAGTACTAAAAATCAGCAACTTGGGATTTATTTGTGATAGTTTTAAAGAAAGAAAAAAAAAAAAAAAGGTGTCTTATTTTTCTTCTTCCCATAAAAGACCATTTGGAGTTGGCATTTCTGCCAGACTCTCTCCAAAGATAGATTGGATTGCAGTTCTCATAGTGGAAATAAAATAAAATATTGTAGCTGTTTCATAGGTTTCACAAAAGGAGGAATCAGCAAAATCCAAAAACTAGAGAATATGGTGCTAAGCGATCTTGTCTCACTCCTTACACTTTTAATGTGCCTAAAGAAGTTTAAACCAAATTTTTCTTTATTTTAATTCTTAATAATTTTTGGTTGCTCTTCCTTTAATTCTTGCTATTTTAGGGTAATGTAAGCAACTTTTTTATTTATTATATGCATTTAAACCATGAAATAAAATATATTGTCTCAATATAGTAATTTTCATAAACAGATCAGGCAAGGTTAGACTATGTTTACCAAGAGCTAGTGTTGGGTTTAGCAGCAGAATAAAGATTCTGAATTTATCTTTAACTTTGCAGGTTGGGGATAGCATTGTCCACAAAGCCAGAGAAACATTGGAGCGTGCTATAAAGCTGGTGAACGATACAAAAAAATGGGGTGCTCACGTTGTGTATGGTGATACTGACAGGTAATTAACGGTCTGCTTCTTACAATATTTTAAAATCATAGTAGTTCTTCATAGATATATTTTTCTTTTGTCTCAACAAGGGGAATTTATGATACTGAAAAGAGTATGTGGACACTCTTTGGAATATTGCTTACTGCCTTCCAGAATATGCAAAGTAAATAATATTTATTTTCTTGGAGTTTCTTTTAAGACTCTTAAAAAGCACTTTGAGGGTTTCCTTTCTTTTGAAAATTATGTGGAACAGAAAGAGGGCGGGGAAAAATATTTTTTCAGGTGTGAATTAATATGTCTTATTTATCAAATGAGTATTTTTGTGCCTGTTGCTGATGCTATTTTTATTTTGGAAAATAGAGTCTTTATAATATCGTAGGCATTGCATGTTGATACTTAGAGGAAGGCACTATTTTAAGCTTCAAAAGTGGATGCAATTCAAAAGCAGCCACCAGAGCATACAAAGATATGATTAGGTTGCCTGAAATACATCATATAAATATCTCCCCTTTCTCAGTCCATCTTTCATCTAAATAATAGCCATGCTCTAGGCGTATCCATCTCTGGTGCTAGACTTGCATAATTTTTCAGCCATGGGAAACAAAGCTTGTCTCTCTGTCCTTCCTTAATAACTTGTGAATCCAGTGACTGTTTTCAGACAGATTTGATGAAAGACTTGGAATTTCAAAGTAGCTTCACAAAAAAAAAAAAAATGTTGGAGAAAGGAAATAAAATCCTATTGCTGCCCATAGTGGAAAAAAAGGGTGTACCCAGAGCTCTTTAGAGTTCTTTCCTGGGAACTCAAGTTTTGTAGTGCCTGGGAGCAGTCACATTCCCTGCTTCACTAGAGAGTCTCAGCCTTTGGCACTCCTGATCTCATACTGACCACTGAAGTTTCTCAGGTTTTTGGCTTTTCTAGCTGAAGGAAGAGAACCAAATTGATAACAACATCCCTGCCTTGCCACCGGGAAACTATAGCTTAGAAGTTTCAGGAATTATGTTGAACAGATTTGTGCTTATTTCCTATGTCTGATTTCTCGTAGCATGTTTGTACTCTTGAAAGGAGCCACAAAGGAGCAGTCTTTTAAGATTGGTCAAGAAATTGCTGAAGCTGTAACAGCAACAAACCCCAAACCTGTTAAACTGAAGTTCGAAAAGGTAAAAGGAAAATATTTTGCTTCAAGTGTGTTGGGTGAAAACGTTGTTATCCAAAAAAAAAAAAAAAAAAAAAAGCGAAGATAAAAGATTTTTCTAGACACTAACGTAGCATAAGGGGTATACACCAGTCGTGTGCTGTACTGTTTCTGCGGGTATATTGCAAGTTCCTTAATGCCTCAGGGACCTTGTCAGAGGAGCACTGCAGCATGAACAACAAAAAGAAATATTCCTACTTTCACATCAGGGTGCCTGGTGTCCTGTTGGGCTGGCAGCACCAGGCAATTTGAAATTCCTGTCTCATCAATTTTTGGAAATGTCTCCCTTAGTTTTGTGCTATATACATAGAATCAAACCAATGTGCAACTTGGTAGAGAAAATGTACACCATCCCTTGAATTTATTCCAGTGCATTAATCACGAGCCTGATATTTATTCTTCAGCCAGTCTTAGCACACTTCAGGATATGTGATACACATACATATAAAACGAAAAATGATAAAAATCTATTCAGTAGGCTTTTGGAAGAAGTATTAATGACAATAAGCCTTTTATAGAAGAGCAAGGCAATGTGATACTAATTTTGCATCGGAAAGTCATTAGCAATCAGTTCAGGTGCTCTAGATATTTTCAAAGTACATACCTGACTCAACAGGTTCAATCAGAATTTGTAAGCAAATTGCTATTTTTCACGGAAAATACAGTAGAAAAATATTAGCAAGAAAAGTCAGGGTACCTGTGAAAGGCAGGGCAACTTTTCCTCACTGACTAATGTACAGGGACCCTTCCCACTTTGAGGCAGTTCTGTGTCATTAAACTGAAGGAGTAATTAGCCAGAAAAAAATACTAGGTGCAAGGATATACTTGAGAAGATGTCAGAGTGCTTCGCTTCAAGTGCTCTTATTCACTTGTGGGTCAAAATATTGAGTACTCTCCCAGGGTATCTTCCTAGCACAGGAAGAGAAAAATGTCTCAAAGCTGGAGCATCTGTTCAAGAAGTGGGACACCTGTGTGCTGGACCTTCTTCAGCCTGAGGCAATCTAAACTCACTGCTCCCTCTTCCATGAGAGCTAGGAAGATGTGGTGTTATCCTAGTAATGCTGGGAAGAAATTGTTCCCCACAAGTGATAGGACAAGAGGAAATGGCCTCAAGCTGCGCCAGGGCAGGTTTACGTTGGATATTAGGAAAAACTTCTTCACCGAAAGGGTAGTCAGGCACTGGACCAGGCTGCCCAAGGAAGTGGTTGAGTCCCCATCCCTGGAGGTATTTAAAAGACGTATAGACGTGGTGCTCGAGGACATGGTTTAGTGGTGGACTTGGCAGTGCTAGGTTAACGGTTGGACTTGATGATCTTAAGGGTCTTTTCCAACCTAAATGATTCTATGATTCTGTTCTATTCTATGATTCTTTTAAAACTGGTCAAGGAATACTGACACAATCAAGAATGAAATAAGAGGTTGGAGAAAACAAGCAGAAGAGACCATGACCCTAAAAATCCATTCATGAGGAAACTGTTCTCCAAGCATAGGCATTTAAAAAGTATGCTTTCCCCAAATCAAGATACTAACTGATTTTAGGCACCTCATCATTAGATGAAATTTGAAAATAGGAAGTTCAAAGCCACTACTTTTGCTGGGGAAGTTTTCTTCTCTGATGTTCACAATGAAGTTGTTGTCTTTTTAAGAGAGAGAGATAATACAGTTACATTAAAAATGCCGACAGATGCAATCCAGAAAAGCAAGAGTACTTGAAACAAATTACACTGTGTGTCACTTTTCATCTGAGCTTCGGGTTCCTTAGCCTTTACAGCTGGATGAAATATAAAGTGCTTTAAGAACGGACCACCACTGAATCCCAACTTCCTCAGCCATCCTTTAACAGTCCTTTGGTCTAGTTTATTGGTTTTAATGATTTAAAAAAACCCACACAACAACAACAAAGCAAAGTATTCCTTAGGAAACCCTCTATGTTCAGAGCTACCTTATATTCCCAACACATGCCAGATTGGGCTATCTTCTTTCTAAACATTCTAGGTCTACTTGCCATGTGTCTTGCAAACTAAAAAGAGGTACGTGGGTTACATGTATGAAACACTGGACCAGAAGGACCCAGTATTTGACGCAAAAGGCATAGAGACAGTCCGAAGGGACTCCTGTCCTGCTGTTTCCAAGGTAAAATACTCATGTATTTCTTCCTGAATGAAATTATAGTATTCTGTTATTTCATTGTATATTTGTCCTTTCTCAGAGTTTCTGGTCCTTGTCAGTTGTCTGAGACTTTGTTTTTCTGGTATGAGCTCTTTGAAAGATAAATTGAAGATCTTGCACAGCGTTACAAGGACTTGCACTTTCCATCTTAACTACTATCTTTCAGCCCCTAAAAACCCCATAAAAAGCCCACAGCCCCACGTAAGTTCTCTAGAAGACCATTCTCGGTCCCGTTCACTTTAACTGGAAGTAAGTATTACTCCAAGATGAGTGAGGCACACTGATGTGTCTGCTAAATAGCTCACTTACATAAATATAGTTTAGCTAAGAATTCATTTAAAATAAACTTCCTTGCCTGTTTATTTTAAGCTGTGTATTGGGGGGTTAAAAAGAAAAGGCTCTTGTTCGTAATCAAGTCAAAACAAGTTTATGCCAGTAAGAAAGGTAACCACTTAGGAGGATTTCTTTCCGTTTTTTCTTTTTAATCCCAATTCTTTTATTTGCTGAGGTGGTCAGAAAGTCATGGCAAAATGTTTTAGACAACGGGGAAAAAACGTCTCCCATACTCGGGAAAACCTCTGTAACTGTTGAAACAGTCTTAGTGCTGGAGTATGGATAATGTCATGAAAGATGTATCAAACTGAGGAAAAAGTTGTCCAGTAATGTGTTTACGAATGTCTTTGAGTGGAAGAGAATGCAACCTGTTGTCATATTAACATTCACAACTGATACTTTTTCTAATCAGTGTATTAATATTTCCATATAATTTACTGAATTATTTGGAATTAATTATTTTTTAGTTAAACTTACGTGTTTTTCTCACCTTTCCCCTTTGGTTGTGAAGATACTTGAGTGTTCTATCAAGCTGCTATTTGAAACACGGGACATAAGTCAGATCAAACAGTACGTTCAGAATCAATGCATGAAGTTACTGGAAGGGAAAGCCAGCATGCAAGACTTCATCTTTGCAAAAGAGTACAGAGGGAGCTCAGCTTACAGACCTGGATCCTGTGTACCAGCCCTGGAAATCACCAGGTAATGAGATTAAGAAGTGCTAATCATAGATATTTTTTCTCTTGACCTTTGTACTGCCAGCTGATGGGTAGCAGTGAGATGTCTTCTTCAGATATTGTTGAAGCAGTTGGCTCTGACTTTCTTCTGTGTGCAAAAAGAGATCAGGCATCAGATAGTCCTAGAAAGCCATTTCGTAGTCCTGGAATTCTGAGCCACGCGTGTTCAAGAGTACAGTCTCTTGTCAGGACGCTGTAACGGTGGTGTGTTCCCTGCTGTTATTTATGCTTTGGTTTTTGTACGAGGGCTTGACTCTCCAAGATTGCCCATCACTCACAGATATTAGATATGTTAAAAATTGTAATAGTGATGTCTCTCAGTGCTGTGAAAGACATTACCATACATAAGGTCTTCAAATTAAGCCATGCTTTTTAAATAAAATAAAACTCAAGTCCTGGATTGATACGTGCTTCAAATTGAATTGTCCTTTGCTTGCTGGGTACTTGAGCTCTTTTTAGTACCCTGGCTGCTCTTTATTAAAATATTTCTTTGAAGAAGGGGTAGCTAGAAAGCAACCTGCATGCAAATCTAAGTGACCTGAAACAGGACATATCTTTAGGGCTCGTGTTCCAAGTTCTAAAATTTGGGTCTGACCATGAGACAAATTAAAAATGAAACAACTTGGTCCTGTGCTTCACAACAGACACTTAACTTCAGTCATCTGGAGAGCTACTAATCTAATCAGATGGGGAAGTTTATGAGCAAATGAAATAACTATGAATTTGTCTTTGGATGCATTATAAAGGCTATTTTTAAACAGGAGAATGCTTGCCTATGACCGTCGCTCTGAACCACGAGTTGGGGAGCGAGTGCCCTACGTCATTGTGTACGGCATGCCCGGACTGCCCCTGATACAGCTGGTGAGGCGGCCCGTTGAAGTCCTGCAGGATCCCAACCTGAGGCTGAACGCTACCTACTACATTACCAAACAAATTCTGCCACCGCTGGCCAGAGTATTCTCACTTATTGGCATAGACGTCTTCAGCTGGTACCATGAGTTGCCACGGGTAAGTGTTTGAAAAGAAACCGCTTACAAACATATCCTGACTTTAAATGGAATGAGGTTGATATGAGGCAACAGCAGAAGTTACTTTACAAGGCAGTGTTTGATGCCCAAACATGCAGACCTGATTCTTGGATCTTCTGTGTGTTTTTTTGTCACTTAGTAAATCAATTTTTTTGGCCAGCCCTTCTGTGCAGGGCTGAGCACACTGTCATCTTCTATTTTCTGACCCCTTCCATAGTTTAAAAGAGTATTTTGCCATAACTGTATATTTTCAGCCATAATTGTATATGCATCTATTTGGCTGCACCACCTTTTAAATCTCTTTATACTAGATTCTGGGACTCCTATTTTTCCAAGATGTTCTGAAGATTTTTCCTCTTTAGAGAAAAAGCGGTAATGCCCCAGCAGCAGGAACACTTTTTTAAAAATCTGTATCACCAGAAATTTTAAACTAATTATATCCAAAACTGACTTTCTGAAAGGTTAAAGAAATCATTGAGATGCAGGAATAGAAGCGTTAGGTAGCTGGATTTTAGTTTGTGATTCCCCTGACAAAAAGGGATGGTGAAAGACAGTGTATCGGTGTAGTTTGGTTACTCTGCTTAGCGTAGACTTCAGCAGCATAGTAGTATGTCGTGTTTTCTGCTGCAGATTTTTAATATAGCCTTGAATGACTTCAGTTCTGCTTCTTTTCTCTGCCTTTCCGATGGCACTGTGACACTCACCTTAAGTATCTCCAACAAGCTGCTCTAAAAAGGCAAAAAGAGCCCTGACTTTCTGCGAGGCCAGGGAGCACCGAGGAGGTCACAGGGAGCAGAGCAGCCGGGTGTTTGAAGCAGGAGAGCGAAGGATAGCACAAAGCCTGAGTCATGCAGCACCAGGAGCGAGCGCAGGGAACAAAGTTCCCTGGGTGAGGGGGCAGTGGTGGAGCTTTGTCCGGGGAAATCGGAGCATGAGCTAGAGCCACGGACCAAAGGATGGTGGCAGCTCTGTGACCGGGACGGCACTGGCACAGAAACTCGAGGGCAGGCAGGATCCAGAAGGCAGCCCCTGGGGCTGCAGCCAGGGCACGTTTGGATGTGAAGTAGATCAACACCTGCAAAGGAACAACTGCAGGAGGCAGAGTTTGAGATGAGATCAGGAATTTAGCACGTGACGGAGGATTTCTTTGGTTACTCTTTCTTTTTTCTGGTGAGATTCCCTGTGAAATAGGTGTGGGTGGGCTCTGCTCGGTGTATCGCTTCAGGGCAAGAGCTACGCTTTTCAGAGTGATGCCATCCATGTTAATAATCTGTGTATGAGCCCATGCCCTGCAGGCTGTGTTGCACTTTCATACTCCTTTTAAAAAAAATAGGCTATATAATCTAGGAATAAGGTGAGCTGCTCTCTTGAAAGTTGATTACCTCTTAATTATTTTTTTTAACAGATTCAAAAAGCTGCCTCGACTGCCCGCAGTGAGCTGGAAGGACGCAAAGGCACAATCTCCCAGTATTTCACGACCTTACACTGTCCCGTGTGTGATGAACTGACCCAGTACGGGATCTGTAATAAATGCAGAAGCCAGCCACAGCATGTGGCAGTGATTCTCAACCAAGAAATCCGAGAGTTGGAGCGTAAGCAAGAACAGCTGGTCAAGGTATGATTAAAGCATTGTCAGATGTCTGTCAGCCAAGGACAGGGGCTGAAACTGCAAAGCAGCGTGTTACCGACTGCCCCCAACAGAAAGGGGAAGTACAGTCTGGGCGTTAAACGCGTTACAGCTTGTTTGCTTTTCCCCTTGCTGTTGAAGGCGGCGTAGCAGCTGTTACTCTCCTTAGCTTTGCGTAAAACTGAAGGCAGAGGGTGTGATCAGAGCAGAAGATGCTTTTCTTCTGTTTTTTAAGAGTATCTTACGTGATTTGTAGGTGCCGTTTTATAATGACAGTGATGGAGAGTTGTAAAAGTATGGAAGATTTAACTTATTTGCATTAAAATAACTGATGATGTTCTAGTAACAAAAATGTTTGTCCCAGAAAATTTATTTAGTTATATGTATAACATGGATGTGGCTTAGCTTGGGGGTTTTCTTATTAGCTTTCCTCTCGATAGGAATTTTCCAAGCTGTTTTTTTTCCCTTGAGCTAGAAGTCAATTAAGAGGGTAGCTGACTGTGCTCACAAATATATTATAGCAAAACGCAATGCCTCCCCTTACAGAAACATATGCATGTACTCACCTAATTTTTGTACTGTCGTATTTTATAATTAATAAATATCTTGGTTAAAATTGATTTTTAGCACTAGCACGTGAACCATTTTAAAGACTTGTCTGAATTGCAGGGGATATGAATGTTCCTGTAGTCTAGGCATTGATTTGATAGGTTCCCATGGGGCTCTGTTGCTAGAAAACCATAATAATTCACTCTTCATAAATATTGCATTACTAAGGTGTGGACCTCTATTTTTTGCTGTATTTTTGTAATATTTTCTCTGATCTGCACTGTAAATGGCAGTAAAGGAAGGTGATGCATGTTCTGCAGTTCTCCTGTGGTACTCTGAACCTTTGACATTGCTTTTGTTCTGGAATAATTGAGAACTTGGCAGATTGGTCCAGCCCCGCGGACGGACCAGCGGGTTTGGTCAGAACGTTCTCGTGTCCACGCAGCAGGTCGGCAAGGCCTGGGATCCCGTGCTAGCCAGTGTTCGGTGACTCAACCTCTCTGTAAGAGCATCTGTCTTATTTTAATATGAAGATGTATAGATCCTTCACAGCTTAAATTCTTGGCCCTCCTAGATTATAAACATGCTGGAGCCAGCAGAAAACTGATACAACGCTGAATCGTACGTTATTTTAAAACACATTTAAAAATTACGTGCCATAGATTAAGGCCATGGACTTCTCCCCTCTACACAAACTGAACTTAGAAAGCGTCTCGAGCACCATTTAGTTTGGTCCCTTGCGTTCAAAGCAGCCGCAGCCTCTTTGAGGTTCTTCTGGTGGTTACAAACCTGGAACAAACCGTTCAAATCCTGTTCCACGGTCACGGTTGGAGGTCGGAGGACTGGTGTCCTCCGAGGTGCCATGTGTGGGACTTGGCCGAGAGGGGTTGCTCCCCTCCAGCTGTTGTCAGTTCGAGTTTCTGCTCCGCAGGGATTCGGTGCTGAAGCAGGTCTGGCCGAGAGGGTCGCTGGTGCCCAAGTAATTTTAACATGGAAAGAAGGAAAAGAACTAATTTTAAAAGCAAAGGATATTTTTTTGATTTGTAGTTCAAACTATGCAAATGGTAGGATAATGTTGCGTAACGTTTCGATGTTACAAAACGCAAGTGTGGTTGGAAGCAAATTTCTGAGTTTTTGGAAAACCGGTTGGAGGTGGCAGATACTGGGAAGGATTAAAAAGAAAATAGCAAAGCAGGGGCCTTTAGTTTTCTGAAGGTAGCTAGCTTTGGAAAAACTCTGCCTGCTGCTATTTTATTCCATCAGGTGTATCATGTTAAAAGTACTTTCAAGCAGCATTAACTAAATTAACGAGTAGTTCCATGAACGAGGAGAGCAGTGGAACCTGCGTGCCCTGTGTATTTCTGTCTTGGGATTGATTAACTCCGACTTGGAAAGTAAAGCCCTAATTGAAGCTTATCCTGAAACGGGAGTAGTTCATTAAGTCCCTTTCCTGCGCAGAGAGTAACTGCTGAATAACGGCGTTGTCTTTCGTCACTAGGAAACTTTTATACAGGATAAGTTGATCCTGAATGTCACACACTGCCCCACTTAAATCCACTCAACTCATTTACCTTATTTTGCCAAGCGCCACCAGATACAAGTAGAAGTTAATGAGCGGGGCCGAAAGCCGAGCCGCGCAGCCCAGCTGTTGATCTCTGCCCAGCGCAGGGCAGGCGATGCCCGCGGCCCGGCGCCAGCAGCGAAACGAGCGGCCTGGCAGCGGCAGGGGAGGCCGCAGCAGAGAAGGGAGCCGCGCTGCATCCCTGCCTTGGGGAAGAGCTTGGTGCTGGTAGGGCTGTGCCTGTTCCGCTGCTGCAGTGTCGAGGGCTCGGTAGTCCCAAGTGACTCGTGCCTTGCTCGTGTTAAATTGGAAATAATCTTTTGCTTTTTTTACATGTACTCTAGATATGCAAGAACTGTACAGGCTGCTTTGATCGACAGATCCAGTGCGTCTCCCTCAACTGTCCAGTACTTTTCAAGCTCTCCAGAGTCAGCAGAGAACTGTCAAAGGCACCGTATCTTCGCCAGCTACTTGACCAGTTTTAAATGATCTGTGTTACAGGATTCCAGGTGCTATTTTTGTTTTCTTCAGTGTTTACCACACTAAGACTATTGTGCATGGTGCTTTTTCAATTCTCATCTAGTCCAGGATTTCCATTTTAAGTGTTGGGTTTATTATCTGAATAATGAACGCTTATCCTAACTAAATTAAAAAAAAAAAATACATTTGTTGATCTATGAATAGCTCACTTTTTAAGATGTACAAATTTCTTCTTTCTTTCATGTTTCTAACATACTGTTTTATAATGCTGATGTTGAAATAGCTATGTGTAACATCTTGTAAATCCATTTCAAAGCAGCAGTCAAGTTTACTTCCTGGAGGAAGGAGCACTGAAAACCTCTTGAAACGATAAAACCATTAGTGTGTGTTCTTGAACTGTCAGTATCAAGACGTGTTACTTATATATTATCCATTCACTTTATAATTTTGTCTGCGAAATATTTTGTAAATACACTTTTTTACTTTTCAAACAACTGAGTAAAATAATGTGCAATGACTTTTATACAGATAATTTTAAAGTTGGTTGGTATATCTCCTCCTAAGTTTTGCTTGATTCCAAGTAGATTGTTATTTTGATCAGACTGTGCAAGCAGTAGTATCATGTGTAGCATTTTGAAACATTATTTTCTAAAAATTGCTGTCTTGCTTTAGCTATTAATGGGGCATTGTGAGGAACTGTGCAAAGACATTTTTGTTACAAACCTGTGGGACTGTTGCAATACTTTAAATATAAAATTTTATTCCATTTTTGCTTGTTTTGTATAGACATTTCTATTGCTTCTAAATATGCTTAAAATATTTTCTTTCCTTATGTACTGTACAGTTAAATCTTATTTGCCACCATCTTGACAAAATGTGTATTTAGAATATTTGTATAACTGTATAAAATGGAAAAGGAATTATGTGGTCAGTGCATTGTTTTCTAAACTGGAAATCATTTTGTTTTAGAAGTTAATAATGGAAACCATATTAAAGTTGAATAAAATGATATGGTAAAAATTACGGGCTTTTTTTAATGTTTACCCTCAATTGCAGACGCCTTTGTTACCCTCCTTTGGCGCGCACAGAGTAACGTAAGCAAGACTGCTCACATGAGAGGTAAGAATCCACAGTTCAGTTTCCAGCTTGAGCTTTGGGATCCAAAAGCTTGGCATCAATTCTTGGAGGGCCTTCCCCAAACCAGAAGAGAAACATTTCCAGCTTTCCATTAGTCAAAACAGGAGTAAGTTTTAAATTTAGAAGTCCAGAGTAGCATTGAAAAATAGAACAAAACTTTATTTACATCAAGGAACCTGAGCGCCTTCTCCAGTTAAGAATTTATTACATTCAAGATACAAGTCAGTCCATTAATTTCACATTATACAGTACAGTGTAAACCCACACCAAGCAGAATAAAAACTATTAAATATAGAATAGAACATCCACAGATTGCGATGCGCTTTTATGCAAAGTAACTAAAAAAAAAACCCCAAAAAGTCAAGGCACAAAGCTTTGCCTACTCTTGCAATCTAGCACTGCTCACGTATAGAACAGAAGTGCAAATGCCAGGACTAACGTCTTAGTGCTTGCGGTACGATCCAGCACTTGGCAGCGCTTCGGGGAGAAATAAGTATATTAAGTGACGCTTAACTGCAAGAGGTTGGGCAAGTGCTCACCTTCAACTCAGTCCTGGCTTTATGGACGAAAATATGATTCTTAATAAATCAGATACCTAATCCATGGATGACAGTTTTTGTCCTCAACACAGAGATTTTTCTAGCTTAAGCAAGGCAATGGTAAAGTAACAGAGTTTACTTCAAGTAATTTCAACCCATAACATGGAAGTTTAAGTGGTGAAGCTTTCTGGAGAATCTTTAACTTAAAAGGCACTGTAAATAGATCCTCGCTTTAACTGTATATGCCAGGACACAATTTACTTTGGAAGGAAATTTAAATATGTAAAAACTAACATTCATTGTCTCAAAACAGCCTTGAGGAACGCCAGATTCCAAGAACTAGGAAAGCTACAGCCTTGAACATCAAGGCTGCCTGGAAGTGCTGCGAGCTGGACTCGTTGGAAATGTCCTACATCTGTTTTAATCTTAAATTGCTTTAAACGTTTCATTCTCATTGAAGGGCAGCCCCTGCTCTTAAAAGCATGCTTTCAGGGGATAAGGAGAACAAGTTCTCTCTCTAAGTACATTCCATTTCAAGTTCGAGGCCAGAACTAAGACACTGAAGGCTCTAAGCGCTCGCTAAGATGACTCAAAATGCAGACGTCGCCCGGACAAAGGCCTCCACGTAGCAGTCGGCCGCGATTCTACATCGTGCTGCTCCAGAGAACGCGGTTCTGCTCTGCCTTCCTGCCAGTGCTTTTGGGATCCGTGACCTCCTGCAAAAGGCTGCTCTTACCTTGGCATTCCAGGCCGTTGCTCCATTCCTACTACTCAGGCCTCCTGCTTTTAAGGGGGGAAATGGGGGTGAATTCAAGTGACTCATGCAGGAATTAATACAGCCGGGGGGGTTTTTTTATCTTTGTTTTGCACAGTATTTTTACATTTGTTGGGAAGACGTTAGTCAGAAACACAAATAACTGTGTATATACAAGCAGTAAGTAGATAAGGTTCAAAGAGGTTACAGCATATTTCCCAATGCGGCTTTGATTTCATTTTCTGGTTTTTTTTTTTAGTACTTGATTATGCAAGACGTGTAAACTATCCCTGAGAACAATCTTACATGCAGGACGTTCCAATTTGGAATTTCATTCCAAAAATTAGCTTATAAATTGGGGATTATTTAAAATCTTCCCACTGCCAGGTGTGTTTCTTAAACTCATTTTCTTCTGGCAACATGATCTCAGGTATGGGGAAACTTCTTTACATCGCCATCGACTCCTCGGGTACCGCCTAGGGGTTGCAGCGGGGAGCTGCCGCAGAACCATTTCCCCATCTTTTGTCGTTTGTCCTGCGCCAGACCCAATTCCTGCCAAAGGAAACCCGCGACCTCCCCGGGGAGGGGCAGGGAACTCTGCAAAAGCAGAGCAGAAGCCGTTATCGCTCCCCCTCCGCCAGCAGGATTTGTCCTCGCCCTCAGCGAACGCCCCCGACTTTCTGCGCACGCAGAGCAGGTACTGCGGCCTGCAGGAGGAAAAAGGGGAAAAGGGAAGCTGAAGAAACACAGGCTTAGTCTGCGCTCCTTCAAGTCACCGCCTCTGCCACGCCACTTCATTTGTTACCATACGCAGCTGGCTGAACACCCGCGGCCGTGCAGGCTTACTCCTCTTTGTTGAACAAACGCTGTCACGTGCACCTAGAACAGGGCTTGGCCTGGTATTTAAAAGCATTTACCATTACTTTAAGCAAAGGCGAGAACCCTTGTGTAGCAGGTGAAACAAGGCCGTATTTTAAAGTGCAGGTTCATGCATTGCACTGGAAAAAGATGCCACGGAAGTGCGCATACGCACAAAGGAAAAAAAAAAAAGGAATCGGGCAAAAGCACAATGGCATTTAAGTGCCGACAGCAGAGGGAGAAGGAGGCCCTTCAACATGGCAAGATGCAAAAAAAATTATGCATTGTCGCTGCAAGTTGATTCATGCTTCTCACTAACTTTGCAGAAGAAGGGAAAAAGCCATGAGGTTCTCGGTTGCACACGCTGAGGACAAGAGAGGGAACACAAACAGCCCACAATGAACGTCTAAGGTTCTGTGCTATGCTACATCTAGAGCTCTTGTTAATAAATTATACTTCTTAGCAAGAAAAATAACAGTGCAAAGTAAAAAACCCCAAACATGAGCACATTCTAATCACACAGCCTTAAAAAAAAAAATCCTTAACCTACAAATTTGGCGTTCAAGTAAACAAATTGCAAGCCCACTCTTTCAGAGTCAGATTTTTGCCGTTGGCTGCTGCTTTTTTTGCTCGTACTGGGGAGGGCTCGCTGGCACGGCTGGGCCTTCCCGCGTCTTCCTGCTTGGCAGCGACGAACCTACCCCTACCAACCACTGCTGCTCCCCTCGGAGGAGCCCGCCTGCAAGTCAGCGCCCAGGGAAACAAACCCCAGCTGGCACTGATCCAGCTGGCAAGGGGCAAGCGGCCGTACAGTACCACCTGCAAGGATCGCCTCATCGATAATTCCCCCTCATTCTCAAATTTGCGTTTTAACACATCGCTACGTTAAAGTCTTGGCACAGGAAGCCAGAAAAGTTGTTACCACCTTAGTTTAAGCAACTGGGTTAAAAATACCACAGCCCTATGTCAATACCATACGTTACGTAATCTGTTTATATCAAATTTTATCACCTTCTTCATACATTTCTTGATTTCTGTGGTAGTGCAGTCATTAAAATCACAAGTACAATCACCGGTACTTGACACTATTTCGATTTGTCACCACTGTTTAACCAGTAAACCAGAGTTAAGCACTATAGCAGATTAATATGACCCATTTTGTCCCCCTTCCCATACACCGCTTTTAAATGCCCTAAACGCATGGTGCCACTCCTAAAAAGTAATTTTTCATCTTTTCTTGTCTTAGTGACAGAACCAAAAGAATTATATAGTTTGCCAACAGGTTACCCAATTTACAGCCGCTGGGCATCCCCTGAAATTTGACTGGATTTCCCGGTTTATGTCACCCACAAACTTCCAACGCAGTAGAAACAGTCGTCTTTCACGAGGTAAGACAGCTCAGCATCACAGATGGATTTCTCTCCTCCTCTCTCGTGAAAACATTTTGTGACCAAGCACCTCAGAACTGCACACTCCACCCACCTCCAAAAAACTGAGTGGTCCGAGCAGTCCCCCTCCTTCCCAGTTAGTTCTTATTACAGCATATAGAACTTAAATGCATGCCTCACATTTAGAAAACATCTCATGTTTTAACATTTTCCGTACAGTCTATGCATTTTATCACGTTACCCCATTCACGTCATGGCAGACTTTCCGACTCTGAGACACATCGCTGCAGACTGAAAATGAAAGGAGAAAGGGCCGGACAGACACAGAAATGAACACGCGGGCTCTGCACCACTACAAGAGGATTCTTGAACCGCTTCTACAATTCCATTGCATTTCCCTTTTTTAAAAAAAAAGTCAGCTTGTATTTCAATCGTTCTTCTCCCGGTCAACATTCACAGTTTTTCTCCCAGGGGAGCCACCAGCAACCACTGGAGAATCGCGCAATACATGGTCCAGATGGGGCTGGAGGGAGACGCTGGCTGGAGAGTCCCCGGGTATCTTACGGGAGGTTTCTATCACAGAGTTTCTCAGCGTGTCATTCATTTCTATTACCTCAAAGTCTGCTTCGTTCCACTCTCCCGCATCCTCCTCATCCTCTTCGTCCTCATTAAGCCCCGAGTTTGACAACAAAGCTTTCCGGTCCTCGCTCTCGCTCATTTCTTTCAAGTCGCTCTCACCGGGGCAGTTGGCCAATTTGTACATCAGAGGGAAGAGTATAACTGTCACTGCAGAAGTCACCAAGGCGGTGTACATAACCACGGGAACGTGGTGGAACAGGAATGCACATCTCGCCCAGCGCGGCGCCGATCACAAACAGGGAAGCCGATTTTCCTTGCACGACCGTGTACTGTTCTATCCAGGAAATGCCGCTGGGGAAGATGGTAGCCATCGACGCTCCATACATAGCGGTTCCGACCCACAGCGAGGCTGGGTACCTCACAAAGAAGGCCAAGCACGAAGAGGAGACGGCAGAGCCTACGATACTCAGCAGGATCATGGTGCCAGGGTACAAGCAAGCAGCACAGAATATTGCCACTCCTCTGCAAGCGGCAAATGTGCCCCAGAAGACAGAATTCAAAGCGGCTGCTTCGTTTTCTTTCATCTCGGCAAAGACCTCCGCGTAAGTAAATATGTAAGAGCCGTACGTGACCTCCGCTCCCACGTAGCAGAAGAAAAACATGAACAGGAGAATAATAAGGGCATAGTGGTATTTGGCAAACATGCCTTTCTGCAAAGAAGCCTTTGATTTGTCTCGAGCTGAGCTGCCCTTTGAATACAAAATAAAGAAGAAGAAAGAAACGAGCAGAAGATAGGTCCCTATGACAACATAGGACCACAAAAAATCTGCACCAAGATGGTGTTTCAGTGCTGACGCAGCTGATGCAGCTGATGATGTCGGCACAGACCTCGGGACAGACTGGTTTGTCTTTCCAGCTACTGGAAGGTCTTTAGAGTCGGAGCCTCCCAAGGCCATTTTAGCCAGGATTGGAGCCACAAATGCACCGACAGCAAAACTGAAGTGTAAGGCCTGCATATGCGGCCCAGCCTCTGCTCCCCAGGTATTCAGTGCCAGTACATTGCCACCTGCGGATCAGAGAGGAGGATTCAGTCATTTTAGGCTGAAACCAGATATTGGTTTAAAAAAAAAAAAATAGACAAACCAAACCAAACCATAACCTGTATTCATAGAATCATAGAATCGTTAAGGTTGGAAAAGACCCTTAAGATCATCGAGTCCAACTGTTAACCTAGCAGTGCCAAGTCCACCATGAAACCATGTCCCTAAGCACCACATCTACACGTCTTTTAAATACCTCCAGAGATGGAGACTAAATCACTTCCGTAGGCAGCCTGTTCCAGTGCCTGACTACCCTTTCGGTGAAGAAGTTTTTCCTAATATCCAAACTAAACCTCCCCTGGCGCAGCTTGAGGCCGTTTCCTCTCGTCCTATCCCTTGTTACTAAGGAGAAGACACCGACCCCCACCTGGCTACAACCTCCTTTCAGGTAGTTGTAGAGAGCAATAAGGTCTCTCCTCAGCCTCCTCTTCTCCAGGCTAAACAACCCCAGCTCCCTCAGCCGCTCCTCATAAGACTTGTTCTCCAGACCCTTCACCAACTCCGCTGCCCTTCTCTGGACACGCTCCAGCACCTCGATGTCCTTCTTGTAGTGAGGGGCCCAAAACTGAACCCAGTACTCGAGGTGCTGCCTCACCAGTGCCGAGTACAGGGGCACTATCACCTCCCTGGTCCTGCTGGCCACACTATTCCTGATACAAGCCAGGATGTCATTGGCCCTCTTGGCCACCTGAGCACACTGCTGGCTCATGTTCAGGCGGCTGTCAACCAACACCCCCAGGTCCTTTTCCGCCAGGCAGCTCTCCAGCCACTCCTCCCCCAGCCTGTAGCGTTGCACGGGGTTGTTGTGACCCAAGTGCAGGACCCGGCACTGAGCCATGTTGAACCTCATACAGTTGGCCCCGGCCCATCAGTCCAGCCTGTCCAGGTGCCTCTGCAGGGCCTTCCTGCCCTCCAGCAGATCGACACTTCCACCCAACTTGGTGTCGTCTGCAATTATCTGTATTATTGATTCAGTTTGCAATAATAGCAGGTTTAGCAAATACAATGTGCAAAATTGTAGTTAACTGAAATTCTGCCTGTAAGCACCTTAAATCCACGTGATTACTTGAGCTTTCGAAGGGTATTCACAGCAGTCAAAATGAAGAGCCACACACTGGCTTAACCCAGCAACAATGGCTGTGCTTAATTCCCCTACTTGACGATTTCCAGCATTTTTCAGCCTTTTTTCCAAAGAGCAAATTTAACTGCTTCCCATTGCTATAAGTTTTAAAAGCAACAATGCACAACGCTGCGAAGCAGAGGCCTCATTAAACAACATCCCAGGAAACATCAAGAATCGCTTGCTTATGATGGGCTCGGACTACCCCAACTGCATTCAAACGACTTTCCAGAAGCAGAAAGGTTTACAATACCGCTGCAGAGACCGAACTACAACACCCTCAAATCAACAATAATGCAAGAAAATTGGAACTCTGAGAGACGTTTTAAGTAGTCGCCAAGAAGAATGGAGGAAAATAAGAACAGTAACTAAACTCCCATGCTACGCTACAGCAACCCTTGTCACGCAGACTCAGTTACACTCGACTGCCTTGCTCTTAGCTTCTGCTGGGAAGTCTCCCTGCCTCAAAGGTCGGACTTCCAAGCAGCACACCCACCCACTGAAGGCATTTTTACAATAAGCCCACAGGATTTTCCCATATGAAGAATTTTTAAACCAAGTGCCATGTATAACGATCCTACCAGAGGCAACAAATACACCTCTGCACTCAGGTTATTTACCATAACCTGTGCCACGCAAAACCATCTTTTTCACTACTGGGTCCTATATCACGCTCTCTTTAGTGTTAGCAGAGCTCCCTCAAGCTCCGCAGAATTAGGGCAGATGGTTCCCACGTGCAGCTATCACCCCTCGGTGTTGCCTACCCGCCAAGCCACTGGAACCAGGCCCTGCCTGGGATGCTTCCAGAGCTGTTTGGATAGCTAGGCTAATTCATTAGCCAGCTCTTACTCAGAAATAAGCCTGCCCCGAAGCTGGTCGACCAGATCCAGTCGTACCTTGCTGGCTAGTAAGTAACCACAGGCTCCCTCGGTAAGCCAGGAAAGTCAGCACGCTGCTGGGAAGTCACCGGAGAGGTGCCAGGTGAGCGGCCGCCTGTTGCGGCTTCACCACCACCTTCTACAGCAACGCCAGAACACTCCACCGCTGACGTATTTTTGGTTGCTTCCTGATCCCCATCTGCAAGCATGCCAGCGTTACCCACTCGTCTCTTAAGCGTGCTTAGGTCTCTTGCCATGGCCTCGCCTCCTGATCCAAACCGCCTGCTACCGCCAGCCATCGCTACCTCATCCTTTCTAAGCCATGCCCAAGGAACTAATTTCTGTGGGAATTTCTTTTTCATACCTCTGGTATAACTGACCTTTCCAACCGCACCTGTAGGCATCTGCTCTGCAACGTCACCAACACATCTCCCTCCAATAAGGGGCCTCTACTAAGAAACTGCTTTTCTCAACAGGTTTCCAGCAAAAGCCTTTTTTCCAGGCCATCTGCGGTATGCACATGCCACAGACTTACAATTTGGTGTATAGAATAAATTTATATTCCCAAACACCTAAGCGAGGCTGGCCAAGGGCAGCAAATATCCCTGAATTCAGGGAGAGGGATGACAGGGTGCTGTGAGCGAGCTAGGGCAGCAGATGCCTGCTGTGACTCCCCAGACGCCACCTGGCCAGGTTTAGGTGGCCAACTCCCCAACACAGCAACTGTGAGAACCCTCTCTCAAACACCTGGGGTTGCTCAGGACTCCCTTCGCTCCAGCTGACACTAATGAACCGTAACCTGACCAGCTTCCTGTAGGTGAGTAATTTAAAGAAAACACTGTTTAAAGAGCACGTAGCACTTTCTTTACGCCTGTTAATTGCCCACTGAAACACATACGTACTGATCTTCTCCAGGAAGCAGGAGATACCCAGCTCCCCAAGCCCCTTAAGGAAGGTCTGTAACAGAGACACACAAACACTGGAAGTCTCAGGGCCAGAATAATCCAAGAACCCCGGCCAGGTGAAACAGCTGCCCTCTTTTAATTCAATACATGTCAAATGAAATACCAGCCAACAGTTTTGGTGAGCTTGAAGTTTCCAATTAGTTCGGTGAAGGAACTATCAGACCGTATGGTCCCTTACCTGTGTCTAGAATTCCCATGGAAGCTCCAATAATTGACATCAAGACAGTTAACAGCAGGGATTTCTTACACCAGGGTATCCCATAAAGACCAACCGTTGTTCCAGACATGGATAATGCTGGAAAGGTTAAAAAACAAAACAAACAAAAAACCCAGATACTACAGTTGCCATTTAAACTACAAAACATACAGAAGACCAAGAAATACAAATGCATTCATCATTATTACAGTTACAGATAATCCGAATAGGTGATGCAACCTAATTACCTCAATTAATGATTCGCAGAAACAGCTAGAAAGTTCAACAGAATCATTTTTCACTTGGAAAGAAGGAATTTCATCGGAATACAAACACTACATGAAAAACCTGTTTTGCTAAAGCTTTGTTTGCAAAGGGAGTAGCATCTGCTGCTAGAACACTAAGAAGCCGCCTTCTGCGAACTTTTGATTTAGAAGTGCTATTTCAGTATCTTCTGCAAACTTCTGATCTGGAAATGTTACTTTACCACAAAAGAAGTAAAACGTGGTTTTGAACAGTATTTTGAACAGTTTTTTTCGCTCTAAGAACTACAGAGCATTACATTTGGCTCCGTTTTAAAAGAACCCAAATCACTAAGCTCTTAAGATCCTATAAAGTGATTGCACCTTGGCCAACAAGCAACCCCCATATAAAAATGCTGATTTCCATTTATATTCTGTTCTCACACGAGGGATGTATTCCAAGGGATTTCTGGAGTTTTAAGAGACAGAACAATAAAACTTCTCATCATCAATTCAGCAGCAATTCATTAACCGTATTAGTTTTTGCTATTATTAACTAACTACACTTACAACATGCCATTTCAAAAAATCTTTTTTAGCAGATGGAAATTATTTTTATTACAATTTGGAAGGAAGTCCAGCAGTTAAATTCTATGTTTATAATCACCTTCATAATAAAATAATCCGCAATTAATATCTTGAATTTACAGTATGAGGTTTGTAGAAAGCTTGTGCCAGTTCAGACGTCTATTATTTTTCAAATCAATGCTTGATCATAGGTGGGGCAGATACTTAAAGATCAATGGGGATCGATGCAATTAAGAACTTTTAGGTTAATTCCAAACAACAACGGAAAAAATAAATACCCAGAACCCGAGAGCCCTAGCGTGACGCTCGGAATACACGCTCGAAGCATTTTTGAAGGCTAGTGTGCTGCGCTGCATGGAGAAAAATCTAAAGCCGGGGTGTATTAAGTACAGGTTCTCAGATGCCCCACTCAGAGCTGAAACGTAACTTCTCAGCAAGTTCTCAGCAGTCCACTTCAGCTCTGCGCCTGCAGACTGGTACTTAAAAGCTTCCTTGACGAAGACAGATTATGTCTTCAATTTTTTCTCTGTACAGTAGCAGAGTTTCAGCAGTTGAAAGATGGGAGGTAAAACTACATGAGCCAAAAGCTCTTACAGGCAGCTTCAGATGACAGAAATGAGAGAAGATTCAGTAGTTCAGATTGTGCTTTTGCCGTAAGCGCTACAAGTTGGTAAGGATTAGGAGATGAATCATTTTCCAAGCATTGTTGACAGACAGCTATCTTGTCCGATACTTGAGGAAAAGAAGCAAATACTAAACTATTTCAAGTTAACACTCACTTCCACAGGCGTATTAATTCCATTATGGAAGGTAAAGCCTCTAATGTTGGACGCAGACAACTCTGACCTTGTCAGATGTACAAGGAGGCTAAAGGAACCCCACTTTACGGATGTTCTGGTGGAGAGGAATAAAGAACAAGGAGGAGACCAAATAAAGACATCTTAGAACAAAAGCAAAGAACTGATCCAGGAAGATGAAGACAAGGGGGGCGGGGGGGAAGAGAGAAGAGACAGACAGACGTTATATGACATGACTACTCCTGATAGCAGGAGACAGGCATACAGGGATAAGAAGAGACTTAGTTCAAACACCAGCAACGGAAAATGGACCTTCTCATATCCTCTGAACTGACCCTGTGATTACAGCACGGTCCTCAGGGGAGGCACAGTTCTGTTCAAATCTCCCTGAAAGTATGGGAAGGAGAAGGAAAAGCGTGAGCCCTGGAGTCTGCTTTAGTCCCTAACTTACAGCACGAAGGCACGTACTGCCATTACTGCACTTGAAAGAAAAAAAGAGAGGGCTTCCACTATTTTAGGTGTGCTCCAAGAATCTCTACCTGAATGAGACACTAAGGCGACTCTGAAAGGAGCACCTCATTTCTGGATGCTGAGCGTTGCTCTTGGCGACCTGACAGCCGAGCAGCCCCGCTCTGCCAGGACAAAGCCAGTCCTGTGCTCCTACAGGACAGAGTTTCCACATGTCCAGAAAACTGTCAAGATCATAAACTGTGGTTCCTATAGAATTTAAATATTTTCATAGCTAGGCAGCAACTGAGCAGCAAGTTTCCACCATCGCAGGTGGTATTTAATGTTTTTCCACTTCACAGAAGTTCTAATTTGATTAAGGCCCTCCAGTCAAAACCTCAGCACTTTTGTCCAGCACGCAAAGATGATCCCTTCTGCTGAGCTCTGAGGAAGGGAAGGGTTTTACGAAGCTCTCCCCACAGCAGCGTACCCTCAGCACGACTGCTGGAGGTTTCCGCTGTGCGGAAATGAAAACCAAAACATAGTTTCCCGTTTTGTTTATGCATTTCATAGAGTGACATTACAGAGGCCTGTATGTTCCAAGAGGATCTGTACCGAGCATATTACTTGATACAAAGGAAAAAAAAACCTCCACTTGTAACTTTTTTTTTGTCCAAACCAGAGGCACCTTTTGGTCAATTCAAACAGGTTTTGTCAGTTCAAAAGCAGTTACCGCTACTAATGCGCCCAGCGAGCCCAACCGCTTGGAAACGATGCTGCACCGCAGTAACGCGGTGCCAGAAAACGAACAAAACAGGATTATCGCGACAGGGAGCGGCAGCACACGCGCGGCGGTTCACGGGGAGCAGCACCGCATGCCGCAGGCCCCCGATTTCCACGTCTCGGCCCCG